GTTATCTGTCTGTTAGATCTGATATGTGCTCAGGCCAACATAGATTCTTAACCCTTCCTTTCTTCCTGCTCAACTATCCTTCCTCTTTTATCTTTTCATTGAATTAAAAAGAAAATTATGAAATAGTTTCAACATGAAAAAAGGTACAGAGAATAACATAAAGAACACTTCTGGCCAGGCGTGGTGGCTCATGCTTGCAATCCCAGCACTTTGGGAGGCCGAGGCAGGCAGATCACTTGAGGTCAGGAGTTGGAGACCAGCCTGGCCAACATGGTGAAACACTGCCTCTACCAAAAATACAAAAATTAGCCAGGCATGGTGCATGCACCTGTAATCCCAGCTACTTGAGAGACTGAGGCAGGAGAATTGCTTGAATCTGGGAGGGGGAGGTTGCAGTGAACTGAGATCACACCACTGCACTCTAGCCTGGGTGACAGAGTGAGACTCCATCTCAAAACAAACAAACAAAAACACTCCTGTGCCATCATCCATCATTTTGCCATGCTGACTCCAGGTTCTATTTAAGAAATAAAACATTACAGGTACAGCTGATGCCACCTCTGTTTCCCTAGCTCTTTCTTCAAAGGTAACTCCTGTCTTGCAGTTGGATGTTTTAATCCTCTATATCATGTATACTTACATTCTATGAATAACACTATTTGGTACTGGCCTAAATGTGTTCACATTGTGTAAGTGTGCATAGTGGCCTGCCACTTCATTCGGAATTATGTTCTTGAGATTTATCAGTGTTGATACATGTGGAATCTGGTTAATTTTTGCCATAGTATTCTATTTTTATACTAAACTTTTAAAAATTCATGCTTCTAGTCTTTGGCTTATTTTTTCAGGTTATGGTATGTTTTGTTGCACAGAAAAGTAAAATTAAGTCATGAGCAAAATATCTGGGTAATCCAAGCTTTCAACTTGATGCTGAATTTGAATTGTGTGTATTTTGTGAACCCTGTGATGTCAATCCATGCCTGATTGTGTAACTCTAACCAATATTCTTTTGAAAATGGAAATTTATATTGACTACAGATTGCCAATAATATTAGTGAATACTGAGCACTTAATCTCAAATAAAGAACTAATTTAAAAAGGATTCTAACAATGGCATTGACTGTTCCACCTTACTACTTATGGGTGGGTTGAGCCAATGTTTCTGTTAGAGACCAAAACCAAAAACAGTCAAGTTAAACAAGCAATCAAACCCAACATACAGACTACTGATAAGGAGGTCATATCATAAGATATGGCATTGAATTGGTGTCTGCTAATGTAAAGGTCTGATGCCCACAGCAAATTTAACAGGGACCTATGTTTACATCCATGGTCAACTACATTCCTGGGTTAAACAGTCGGGCTGTAGGCCCTGCTGTGTGCCTGGAGTTTTGCTGAAGTGTGGGGCTTTTAAGACAAGAAGAATAAACTTGCTCCAGAGTTTGCTCCAGAGTTAAGAAATGTAAACTAAAAATCCTAAAGATTTTGGAAAAACTATTGCCCTTGAAGATTTAAATTTATTTGGATGGAGAAGACATGTTATAAAAACAACAGACCCATTCACTGATTTGTACCCTTCAGGAGACAGATGACTGGTAATGGTGACAATGGGTGAATGTTGGGTTTGGGGTTTTTAGAAACATCTGCACTTGGTGACTACTGTATCTAATTGGTGTGATAAACCTGGCACCCCATGTGTTTGGCACCATCTTGGATCCTACTCAGGGCCAGGTGAACTGAGTGGCCTCTTCACTACTTCAGAGTCTGAAGCAGATTATAGTATGTGGACCAGACACAGAATGTACCACCAAGCACATTGGCGCAAAGTGTACTGGGAAGGGAGACTTTGTGAATGTGGTGCTGGTTCTCAAACCTCAGCGCTCAAAAGGATCTCCTGAGGATTCCTGGATCACACTCTTAAACTTCTCATCCAGTAGGTCTCAGGTGGCTGAGAATCTGCATTTTTTTTTTTTTTTCTGAGACCGAGTCTCACTCTGATGCCCAGGCTGGAGTGTATTGGCGCCATCTTGGCTCACTGCAACCTCCACCTCCCAGGTTCAAGCAGTTTTCCTGCCTCAACCTGCCTAGTAGCTGGGATTACAAGCGCATGCCACTACGCCCAGCTAATTTTTATACTTCTAGTAGAGAGGGGGTTTCGCCATGTTGGCCAGGCTGGTCTTGAACTCCTGACCTCAGGTGATCCACCCACTTTGGCTTCCCAAAGTGCTGGGATTATAGGCGTGAGCCACCATACCCGGCCTGAATCTGCATATTTAACAAGCACCACAGGTGATTCTGATACAGTAGCTCCCCAAACCTCATGGTGTTAGTGAATCCCAGTCATTCACAACTGCCATGATTTTGGTCATATTCAAGTGCAGCTGGTACCATTTTTAGTTAATATATTTTTAAAATAAAGTCACTTCTTTTGGATAATTAAATTTAATTACAAGGGAAGCTATACCACTGCTGTAAAAACATCACCTGCTTTAAAGAGAAGGTGCATAATGAATATACATTAAGATAAAAATGTGTATGTCTGTGTGTGTGCACATATAAGCATACACATATCTACCATAGGGAATGAGTTTTCCTTCAGGTTTTTCAACTTAAATGTCAACTTTGAGGTCAGTTAATATGTGTAAGATATATGTGTGTATATATGTCTATACATATAAGCCTATACATAAATACATGAATACATATAGTATATCTGTACACAACCTATTATGCATATCATGTATATTTCATCCACTTAGTATTATCTTTTATTTTGCAGTTTGGCAAATGCTCAGTAAAAGAAAAGGGTTAGAAGGGGAGAAAGGCATTTTATCCCAAGCCTTCAGGAATTAGGATGAGGATGTCTTCACCTTGCGGTGAGGAGTAATTATACTATTAGACACAGCACATTGGAGTGTGGCTGATGTGCTGTGTGATGGTAGTTGTAGTCTCTGCCCAGCAGAGGAAGGACATTTCAATAGAAGAAAAAGTTCAAGACCTTGCCGAGAAACAGAGAAAGGATTTTTGTCTTTTTAAGAACTTGAAAACCCTGTTGCAGACAAAAGCCCTCCAGTTTTGGCAGTAAACTTTCATGCAGGGGAAGAAAAAGGCAGGGGATGACATTGTTGACAATTGTGAGCACTCACCATGCGCCAGGCACTGTGCGAGGGGCTTTGTACATAGCCTCTAGTTTTAGTGCTCATAAAAACTCTGTGATATGTGCACAGCATTTTAAACTTTGCTGTATAGTTGAGAAAATGGAAGGATGGGGAATTTGAGTCATTTGCCCAGGGTTCTATAGCTGCCCCAGGTTCCCATGACTGGAGAATTGGGGCACAGGGTGGCAGGGGAGAGTGAGTGACAAGAATCCTAAGAATCTTATCTCCATTCAGTCTTTATAAAAGAAGTGGATTAACTACCACATTTTGTTTTTACTTAAATTGACATTACGTCAGTCGGGCATTTCTTGTTTTGTCCGGGGTTTGTTTTGTTTTTGCTACACAATCTTGAACATCTGTCATCTTGTAGGCCTAATGTTAAACACAAAAACACTTTACCTCCTATAGCTTTCAATTAAGATCTCTCAGTTTGTGTTTGTAATAGTTTTTCAGGCAAGGTCTCCGTAGGTTCGGCTTCTAGTGTGTTAACCTTTAGTTATAAAGTGAACCCAAAGAGAGAAAGTAGAAACAAAACACCTCACCTGTTTTTTGCTCATGAATTACTTTCTATGGAAGGGACAATCATGAACACCTCTGTGTATCACAGAGGTCTACATGAATCTGGCATTTAAGGGAGACCACGTGGGTCCCTTTGAGGACTGTGAATGTGGGAATACTGGGACTCTGGTGAAGAACCCGTTCCAGAAGAGATGAATCAGCTGGACAAGTTCTTTCATAGAACCTTTAGGCAGGTTTTCTCAGAAATGCACATTCAGGATTATGCTTGATCAGAATGATACTCAATCCCTTCTGCATTTGGAGTTCTCTTTAAAAGAAAACATCCCAGGCTGCTATTTCTCAAGAGATAGTGAGTCCCAACCACTTCTAGACATTTTCTTGTGTAGTCTACGTTATAATTTCACAGCAGTCTCTGATACTACAAATGTCAAGATAGCCCAACCTTCTCTAAACTTCAGAGATGTCTGATATGATATTGAATAAAACAATGCTCATAGAAACATCAAGAAAGGTGGATTTTCCCTGGATACTTTTTTCCTACTTGACAAATAAGAATGATGAAACTGACTCGTCTTTTTCTCTTTGGAAGCCTGAACGTTCAGAACCCAACTTGAGGCTCCTCAGCTATAGCAATTCTGACTTCATAGTCTGTAAATTATTGTTCTTTTTTTTCTTTAGCTTATGCTTTCTGCCCTAATTTATCTTTTCCCTGTTCTAATGAATTATTGTCCTGTATCTGCTATGCAGTTAGGTGACATATAACAGCAATTAAATATATGAATTGGTACATACAAAGATTTGACTAAAACTCGGTGTAAAACTAAGTGTTCTACGTTAAATTTCCAGTGTTAGAAACAGTGCTGACTTGAACAGAGTGACAGAATTCCATCTTTCCCTATTTTTGACAGCTTTAAACTTTATAGTTCCTCCCTTTCTTGTGAGCCATCATTAACTTGTTTCTCAAAGCCATTCCCGTATTACTCATCTTGCGGACTCAGACAGATTTGGGAATTTGCGGTCAGAGTTGTATTGGACACATCCCCCCAGCCCACATGAGATCCTTTTTATCTATTACATATTAACTAATTTTAAGTACAATATTCCTGCTTCGTTTAAAACCATTAATCAAACAATGAGTTTGAAAATAAACAAAATGCAAACTTACAGTTAGAAATAACTGTAGTGTCTTTAGTTTTGGTTAGAAGTTGGTTACTTGTTTGTTAAACTCAAGATTGTGAACAGTTTTAATTCACTTGTTTATTTCCAATAGAGATTTCAGGTTTACATTTGAACTCAAAAACAAAGTTTTCTTTCTCATTACAGAGAGGACTAAACTCTTCATCTCCCCTCCCGAGCAAGGAGCTGGCTGAAGCCACAAAAACATTGCTGCATAGTCTTGGGACTCTGGCCCAGGAGGTAAGTTGCGTCTTTCCAGTACCAGAAAGCGGACCGTTCGCTGTATCATTTTTTTCATTTCCTGAGTTTGGCAAGAGGTCCTTTGGATTTGAATATCACATGGGATGTAATACCAATTTTCAAAGTATAAGTGATGTAGAAAATAATGTTTTGATTTCCTTATTTTAGAAATGAAGCAACCAAAACGCATAGATGTCTCAGAGCTAATTAGTTAGTGGCTAACAGCTGGATATCTAGGTTAGCACCTTCTCCCTTTTTTCTCTTTGCCCCTAGGTAATCATACATTTGTAAAGAGGAGAATTATCTCTGTCACCACTCATGCACTGCTTTTGTCTGACCAGCAACTTCTTCATATTGCTTCTTCAGTAGCAAGGCCAATGATTTTACCAACGCACATGCTTGCTAACTAACAGGAATAACATGGTGCCCCTATTTCAGCCCTTTCCCTTGTAGGCATCTGGCTTCTGAGGTTCAGCTGTGGGAATATGATCTCTTAATGAACGTTAAGTTGGGTTTGCCTTTTAGGTCCACATGTTGACAAATATATCAGAGTAATCTCTGTCCTAGAATCAGAGGGCCTGTAGGCACTTGTAAAAGCAGTTAGCTCTGACTCACAGTCAGTGCACACTCCACTTTTCTGACGCCCAGCCTTGTTTCAAATTAGACTTGGAAGCGAGGAACTGTCTGGTGTCCCCCTGCATAAGAAGCTGAGCCAGGGGGCAGTGGTCACAAACAATACAGACTTAAACTTATAGGATATTGGAAAATAATAATTTGTGGGGAAAATGTCTCAGACTTGGTCCACCCTTATTTTTAGCTGCTTCTCTAATTCATTTTTCCTTTCTTGGTGCTTGTATCTAACCTACCCATTTTTTGGTGCTTGCATCATTTTTTTCAAATATCAAAATGAACTTTCTGTTTTCTAACAATGAAAGTATTGCCTGTTCATTGTGGAAAATGCAGAACACTTGGAAAATACCAAAAATGCTGAGATTAAACACTATTGACCCCTTAGTGTGTTTCTTCCTGTCCTGTTCTATTTTTTTTCTTTGATTTCTGCTCACGTGTTTCTGACTGACGAGGTTTGACTTTTGGGTTCCCTTTCCAGAGGAGAAGCCTTCTTTCAGCTTGCCATTTGTTACCCTGGTTATGAAGGCTTGTGACCTTTTTTACTAGGTAGAGAAGCTGGACCAACTTGGGTTTTTCCAGGGGGAGAATGAGAAGGATAAACTGTTTTGCAAGTCTGTAGCTATTTCTCTAGGGCCCTGTTAGCTGACATTGACATGCCTTGCCTTGCTCTGCAGATCCCCTCCCAGCCCTCTGTCCCTTGTTCATTTCTGGCCTTAGAGAAAGCAAAGCAGAGGCTGTAACGCAGGAGGATGCCTCTAAACTCAGGGTTTGGTTACAGCTGTTTTCACTTACATCACTGGCCCTGTTTTTTTTTTTTTTTCTGGCATTAAAAAAAAAAAAACTTGGAAGCAGGTGATGTCCCCATTGCTGATGTGCTGGAGACTCTCCAAGTGAACAATGTACATTTTTCTTGGCAGCTGCTTCTTGTGCCCTGCTTGCTCCTGGTCCAGGACAAGCAAGGACCATCTGCCTCTTTCAATAGAACACCTCCAAGTCCCTTTGATCACAAGTTACTCGTTGTCTAACTTGCTATTTCTGTGAGACAAATGGGAGAAGATCAGTAAATGCCCTTGTTTGTCCGGTCAGTGTGTGGAAAGTTGATAATTTTGACCAAAGCACAACCCTTGAAAGGAAAAGAAAAAGGGAGTGAATGTCTTCTGAGGAGCTGCCTTGGTTTAGGCAGTGTCACCCATTTCCCTGTATACTCCACATGACAAACCTGAGTAGGTCTCATTGTGTCCATTTTGCAGATGGCACCAAGGCTCAGAAAAGTTAGGCAACTTTTCCAGTCACCCAGTGAGTTCATTGACAGAACTGGGATTCGAACCCAGGATTGTTGGATTCCAAAGCCTGTGTTGTTGCCTGCTTCGTGAAAAACTCCAGTAGCAACTGGAATAGAAAGGAGACCCTTCCAAGAAAGAAAATATGCACTGGCAGAACCTGGAAATTGGGAGGAAATGAGGACTTGAGGAATAAGATGAATGAAAGCTGACATGAGTTTCACATCTGGGTGATGGGAAGGGAGGACAGGGAGGCAGCATCTCAGATGTCCACCCAGCACCGACCAGCTGCCTGGCATTGCTAGGTGTTGGGGACTTAGCAGTGAACACACTAACTTCTCTGCTCTCTTGGGGCACATATGGAGTGAGAGACAGAAACAAACAGGTCAGTGTACAATGCCACAGGAGGGATATATGCAGTGAAGAAAAAGCAGGGTAAGGGGTATAGAGCATGAGAAGGTGCTATTTTAAAGGGGGTGATTAGGGAAGCCCTCTTGTGACAGTTGAACCTGAAGGAGATGACAGCATGTCTGTGGAGAGGGAGGGAAACTCCAAGCAGGAAGAATGGCAGATACAAAGACATCGATGCTAGAGCGTGCCTAAGGAATGGGTTTAAGGACCAGGGAAAGTGAGCAAGTGGTGCGGGGAGGAGAGGAGCTCAGAGCAGGAGGAGGTGAGTTCCATACAGGCCTGGCAAGACTTTGGATTCCTGCTGGGTGAGATGGGAATCCAGTGGAGGGTTTGAGGGAGGGGGACATGATGTGATCTAGAGTTTAGACTGTTTACACTCTGGTTGTTGGATTGAGAAGAGACTGGGATGGGGGAACGGGAGGACAAAGGACACTGTGCTGGATTGAGAAAGCAGTAAGTCAGTTTCATTCATTCACTCAACTGATGATGTTCAAACACCACCATTATCTGTGGGCTAAAGGATGAAGAGCCATCCCTCCCTGAGAGTCAGGGAGCCCTTCCCAGATAAAGTCTGGAGTGTGAGCTGAGGTGTCAGAGAAAGAGCAAGAGTTTGCCCCTAAAACGGGTGCTGGGAAGAGCCAATGGTTTGGAATAACTCAGTAATTTATGGTGCTTCTTTAGAAAGATTTGCTGGCTTTATGTGGGAAGAAATTTGTCCTTTTGATTGGGAAGTGGTGGGATGGTGGTGAGGCTGCCTTTGGAAAGAGAAGTGAGTGCTTTGACTCACTATTGTTTAAAAATCTCTAGGGCTGTTACAGGTTATGAAAAGATAAAGTTGGGAAAAGCTGTCCACGTCACCTAACTGGGTTCTTGTGGAGTGTGCTAGATGCCCCCTCTCTGGAGAAAAAAAATCCTTTTTCTCCACCTCTGACCTGCCTCTGGAGAGCCTAGTTCCCATCGGGAGGCAGAAGGGGCAAAGCTTAGGACCTAGAGAGTGCTGGACCATACCACTTACGGGAACCAGCAGGCTGTGAGGTCGAAAGCTAGGCACATAGAGCTTTCCAGGCTGGGTGCAGGGCCTCGTGGCCCCTCCCCTCTGTGCTCTATAGCTCAGTCTTCCCAGGCGGTGTGAACATGCAGTGACATTTCAAGGAATGCAGGGATTTATTAATGATTTATTGTGAAATGTTTGGAAATACAAAGTGCTCTATAAATATTTCATAATAGCATTGGGGCCGAGAACTCCACAAAGTGCCGGAATACATTTGTATGTAAGACAGAGTGCCGCCGCCCGGCTCATTGATGTTTGTTGAGTGGCAGTCACAGACGCACCCCTGGCTGCCTGCGGTTTCTGACTCACCCTGTTGGAGCTGTTCTCTGCAGGGCACCCTCATGTGTGGCATAGGATTTATGCCTTACCACACACTGTTTTAGCTTTCTTGTCTTGATGATGAATAGAGGGCAGTGTCCAGACCATGGTATAAGCATCTACTGCTGCCCAAGTCTACCAAAACCAAGCCAAGTTGTGTCTCAGCGAGCTCCGTGAAAGATGGAGAAGTTGAGCACTCAGAGACATGGTGTGACCTTTCAAAGACTGTAAGCTGACGAGGTACATAGCTAGGGTTCAGACTCGAGTTTTTCTTTTTTTTTTTTCTTTCTTTCTTTCTTTTTTTTGAGACGGAGTCTTGCTGTTGCCACCCAGGCTGGAGTGCAGTGGCGCTCTGCTCACTGCATCGTCTGCCTCCTGGATTCAAGTGATTCTCCTGCGTCAGCCTCCCTAGTAGCTGGGATTACAAGCACATGCCACCATGCCCAGCTAATTTTTGTATTTTTAGTAGAGAGGGGGTTTTGCCATGTTGGCCGGACTGGTCTTGAACTCCTGACCTCAGGTGATCCACCCTCTTCAGCCTCCCAAAGTGCTGGGATTACAGGTGTGAGCCACCACGCCCGGCCTAGACTTGAGTTTTTCATCTTATGCTTTTTCATTGCCTGACACTTTACTGAGACCGAGATAGGGAACTTCACATACAGTACCTTTTCTCCCAAGGGGGACAGGGCTACTCAATTTCCACACTGGAGTTCGAGGAGTTTTAGAAGTGAGTCAGTTATCGAGGGTGAGAGCAGTTCCTGATAGGCTCAACAACACTCAGATGTAGCTATTCATAAAATGCATTCTCATCTATAAAGTGGAAGATAATCCCAGTGAAACAAAGCCCAGCTCCAGGGGCTTCACTAACTCCAGGCTGTGCTTCTCAAACTTTAGTGAGCATAGGAATCACCTGGGCATCTTGTGGGGCTGTAGATTTGAATTCTGCAGGTTGGCGGAGGGGTCGTAGAATCTGCGTTTCCAACAGTGTCTCCAGTAATGCTGATGCTGCTTGTCCCTGGACCCCAGATTGGGTAGCCAGGTTCTGGCAAGCTCATGCCAAGGCTTTGAGATGACATCGGACAAAATATGTTCTGGGACATGGCTTTTGAGAGGTCAAGAAAATAAGATGTTTCTTTCTCTTCTCATTCCAAATCCTTTCACTGCCCTTTTCTCCCTTCCCCTACTCGCCTTTTTCTCCCTATCCCTGATGCCAGCTGTTCAGCATGAGAAGCTGGAGTGACATGCGACAGGAGGTGATGTTTCTGACCAATGTGAACAGCTCCAGCTCTTCCACCCAGATCTACCAGGCTGTGTCTCGTATTGTCTGCGGGCATCCCGAGGGAGGGGGGCTGAAGATCAAGTCTCTCAACTGGTATGAGGACAATAACTACAAAGCCCTCTTCGGAGGCAATGGCACTGAGGAAGATGCTGAAACCTTCTACGACAACTCTACAAGTGAGTGTCTGTGCAGACCCCAGACCTGTCCCCAACCCCGTCCCTACCTTAGTTCTGGCCTTGGCCTGTGTCGTCTCCTCCCTCTGTAGCAGCGTTAGATGTCTGCATGCCCATTTACCCACCAGACTGAGCTCCTCCTGGAGGAGAGAGGCTTCTCTTGATTAGCTACTTGTCCCCAGTGCTCTGAACGCAGCCTGGCACTTCTCAGGTGCACAGTAGTGTTTATCAATGGAATGAATGATTGACAGCCAGCCTCCTGGTTTTCTGAGGGATGTAGAAAGGTGGCTTCCAGAGCAGTCAAGAATGAGATAATGGCAGAGGGAGAAATCCTGCAAGATCTCACTTATGTATGGAATATATATAAGGTGTGCAAAGTGTCAGTTTCACATGATGAATAAGTTCCTGAGATCTGATGTACATTGAGATGACTATAGTTAGTAATACTGTATGGTATACTTGAAATTTGCTAAGAGAGGAGATCTGAAGTGTTCAGACTACACAAAAAAGGTAACTATGAGGTGACAGATTTATTAACAGCTTGATTGTGGTGATCCTTTCAGAGTGTATACATATATTAAAACATCACATTGTATACCTTAAATATATACAATTTTTATTTGTCAGTTATCACTCAAAAAAGCTGGAAAAATATTTTTAAAAAGGATGATATACTGGTTTTAATATTACCATCGAGATAAGCTTTATAATAACATAAAAAGAAATAACAGTAATGATAATAGCAACAACAAGAAAAACTACATTTAAGTAGAATTTCTTATGTACTGTGCATTCTGTTTAAGTTATCTCATTTTACCCTCATGATAACCCTGTAGGGAAGATTCTTTAACCCCACATTTCGTAGGCTCAGAGAGGTTAAGTGCCTTGGTCAGAGCCACATCAGAGATAATCCACAAGAGCCAGGATTCAAGTCCAAATCTGCCTGGATCTGTGCTCTCTAAAATAACTGTTAGTGGTGGTGTGTGTGTTCTCACAGTCAGACGTTTGATCTGCTCTTTGTTTCCCATTCTTAGCTGCAAGGCAGTGTTAAAGAACCTTGTATCTCCATATCCACTCCCCACACTTAAGCACTTTTGTGGGCATGTGTGCCATATGCCTGGTGGCAGCAGGGATCCAGTGTTACAGTTTTAGGCAATGGCATCCTTTTCCTTGAAAACTTGATGCAGGTGAACCTTTCTCCATTTCCAACCACAGGTGTGTCTTTCAGACACTGAGTGAGGCAGGTTTTGTAACACAAGAACCTTTTCTTCTCTGGAGTAAAGCACTCCAGACATTGGCAAGTTGCTTTACAAGCCCAAAGAGGATGGGATTGTAGGCAGCTTTAATGAAATCCCATCTTCTCCTGTCCCCCAGCTTGCAAGTTGACCCAAGGAAGTGTTCATTTCCATGACAGACATAATTGTGAGGACAGCCTCATTAAAAAAAAAAAAAATTCTATTATCTTTCCAGCATATAGAGGACATTTAGTATCTAAAAAACCCTGAAAAACTTAGAATGAATTTTTAAAAATCAGGGATCCTGCTGGATAATCAAACCCATTTGCCTGTTACGACTTTTGTATTTGGGTTTTTGTTAAGTGTACATATACTGGCTTATGTTAATCAAAGAGAATTTTTTTTTTTTTTTTTTTTTGGAGACAGAGTTTCGCTCTTGTTGCTCAGGCTAGAGTGCAGTGGCACGATCTCGGCTCACCGCAACCTCTGCCTCCCGAGTTCAAGCGATTCTCCTGCCTCAGCCTCATGTGCCACCACGCCCAGCTAATTTTGTATTTTTAGTAGAGATAGGGTTTCTCCATGTTGGTCAGGCTGGTCTTGAACTCCCAACCTCAGGTGATCTGCCTGCCTTGGCCTCCCAAAGTGCTGGGATTACAGGTGTGAGCCATGGCGCCCTGCCCCTAATTTTGGTTTTTGCTTGAAAACTGAGGGCTGAAGTCAGCCTTCTGGTTGTCCCTGAAGAGTTAGTTTAAATGTTGGTCATGTTGTCAGTGAAAACAGTGGCAAGGCTGTCATGAGAGTGTGAATCTGGAGTTGTGAAGGCTTGTGCTTTGTGAAAACATTTTTCCAGATCAGTTCAGTTGTGAGTTATCCATCATTGATGTTATAATGAGCTCTGATTATTTATCAAGCTGCATTCTTTACAGATAATATCTCAGTTTTATCTGAGGTAATCTTCTCCACATCTCTCAAAATAGATGTTATGAATTTTACTTTTACAGAGGAGCCAACTGAGGATCAGATAAGTTACTTATTATATGACTATTAGTGGTAGAGCTGGAATTTGAACTCAGAACTGTCTGGCTTGTAAGTTTCTATCAGTATCTGACCATGCATATGAGCATTTGTCTCTCCTATTCTTTGTAGCTCCTTACTGCAATGATTTGATGAAGAATTTGGAGTCTAGTCCTCTTTCCCGCATTATTTGGAAAGCTCTGAAGCCTCTGCTTGTTGGGAAGATCCTGTATACACCTGACACTCCAGCCACAAGGCAGGTTATGGCTGAGGTAAGCTACCCCCAGCCCAAGACTCCCTCCCCAGAATCTTCCCAGAACTGGGGGCAAAAAACTCAAGGTAGCTTCAGAGGTGTGCACTAAGTATTTTTATGGCTCTTCTGGGATTCCCAGAGTGAAAACCTCAAGTCTGATGCCGACCAGAGCTGGGTCAGCTCCCCAGCCCTGGGTATAGAATCATAGTTATAAGCAGGCATTTATTGGCGATGGGGGAGGACTGGCACAGGGCTGCTGTGATGGGGTATCTTTTCAGGGAGGAGCCAAAGCGCTCATCGTCTCTGCTTCTCCTTTTTCTGCGGTCCCTGGCTCCCCACCTGACTCCAGGTGAACAAGACCTTCCAGGAATTGGCTGTGTTCCATGATCTGGAAGGCATGTGGGAGGAACTCAGCCCCAAGATCTGGACCTTCATGGAGAACAGCCAAGAAATGGACCTTGTCCGGGTGAGTGTCCCTCCTATTATTAGCATGTGCCTGCTTGATACTGGAGAGGTGAGTTTCTGGTCACTTTCCCAGGTGTGACTGAGGTGAGAATTCTTTCAGTTTATCTAGCTGGGGGAATGTAGTGAGCATAGGTAGAGTCACAGGGCACCACCTCTCCAGAAGTACAGGCCATGGTGCAGAGAAAATATTGTGCATATCAGCATTCATGCCACTCGTGGTCAAATAGCAGTTTTCTGCAAAACTTAGTGAGGGCCGGTGTTTGGAAGTAGAGTTGGGTAATTGCAGGACCCTGACTATTTTCATTTTTGGCTGCGGCCTCTCAGCCAGCCACAGCATCTTCTTTACCTCCCTGTGCCTTGGTAGGTTTTGGAAAGAGGTGTGGGAGCAAAAGCATCATGTTACATGTAGACTGGCCTGAGAAACTCATTCTCAGGGCACTGTGTGAATGATGAGCTGCTGTTACTGTGTGGAGGGGAAATGCACTTAATGCTTCAGAGCCACTTGAAAGGGGTAAGTGCTCTAGAGACAATTGGATTGAAATGTGGAGCAGGCTGAGCAAGAACAGAATGTCTCCTTTGCCTGAGCCTGAGTGCTGTTTAATCTCATCTTCCTGCCTTGGGCTGAGTCAGAGAATCATTAGACTATTTCCTATTTCCATGGTGAGGGAGGCGTCTTCCTTTTGTCTCTGCTCCCTTTAAAAAGCAGGTGAGGATTTTGCCAGGTTTCTTGTTTTGAACCTTACTGACTTTAAGGGTAGCTGGGTTTTAAAGGCTGTACCTACCTGGAGGGAACACTTCCGAAGTTTAGTACTAGTCCCTGATCCGCTGGGAGGCAGGTTACTGAGGAAGTTCCTTTTAAAACAAAGGACTTTATACTGAGAAAAGTATAAACAGTGATTTGTATGGATTCACACTGACTAATAATAATAGCTCATGCCATTCAAGTGTGGGTCTCTCCTCTAAAGGAGGGTTATATGATCTAGCCATGTAGACCTAAGTGTGATTTCAGGCCTTTTCTTCCTGGTCTTCTTCTTCGAATCCACATTTCTACTAGTTGGACTTTTTCTCTTTGTCTGGCTCTCAGAGGATGATAGGAGGTCCGTGAAGTGACTCAGTGAGTTTTGATTTGTGGGCAAATAGATGCTTCCCTAGTCTGAAATTGAGAGCTTGCCTTAGATGCACCAACTGTTCACAAGTTCCCAGTTCTTAGAGGACAAGACCCTTGTAAACATGGCAGTGGCATTAGGAGTCTAGCTGGGAAAATCCAGTGTGTGCGCTTGGAAATGAGGGAGCTGGGGCTGGAGAGAAAGGCATGGGCATGCCTTGGAGGGACTTGTGTGTCAAGCTGAGGACCTTTACTTTAAGCTCTAGGGGACCAGGCAGGGGAGGTGTAGATACATTTCTCTGATGGGGTGGATGAATCGAAGGATGAGGGAAGAATGAAGGCAGAGACCAGGGAGGAGGCTCTCCAAGTGGCCAAGGCATAAAGCAAGAAGTGAGGCCTGGTGATGGCTTAGTTGTGGAACAGTGAAAGACAGGGAGGCATCAAAGCAAGTCTTGATTTCTGGATGGATGGATGGTAGGGATGTCCAGTAGGCCAATGGGTACTGGGGTCTGCTGTGGAGGAGGGTGGTTGGGCTGGCGATAGGTGATGAGGGAGTTGTCAGCCTGTGGGTGGAAGAAAAGGGAACCTCTTCCAACTGTTTTCTTCCTTCTCTCTCTCTCTCTCTCTTTTTTTTTTTTTTTTTTTTTTTTTTTAAGACAGAGTCTTGCTCTGTCACCCAGGCTGAAGTACAGTGGCATGATCTTGGCTCACCACAGCCTCTGCCTCCCGGGTTCAAGCAGTTCTCCTGTCTCAGCCTCCAGAGTAGCTGGGATTACAGGTACATGCCACTGTGCCTGGCTAATTTTTTTATTTTTAGTGGAGATGGGGTTTCATCATGTTGGTCAGGCTGGTCTTGAACTCCTGACCTCAGGTGATCCACCTGCCTTGACCTCCCAAAGTGCTGGGATTACAGGCATGAGGCACCACGCCTGGCCTTTCTTCCCTCTCTTAAAGAGTGTTTATTTAATTCCACAAACATGAGCTTGTCACCCCCTGCAACCTGGCATCTCCTACGCGAGGTGATGGCTGAGGCTTCTGCTTCTGCTGGGGGGTAGCTCTGATCTCTCTGGCACTGTCTACCCCTGTTGCCTCACCCCATTGGTCCCAGGGCACCTCTCTCAGGCGAGTCATGGAACCCTCTGACACTGATTTGCTCTCTTTTCTGAGCTGCTTTTAGCCCCTCATCCTCGGACCTTGATTTCTTGCTGCCTCCAGTCCCGCAGGCAGTCTTAGGTCTCCTGCCCTTCGCAAGCACCCTAGAGGGGCCACGTGCTCAGTGAGCTCAGTGGGCACATGTTTCTAGTCTTGCTGTTCTTTTTAGAAGCCTTACTGGGCAGGGCCGACTTCACCCTAAAGGCTGCGTCTCTTCACTTTGCTTTTGTTTGTTCCCAATAAAGTGGCTTCAGAATTGCTAACCCTGGCCTCTGTGAACTTGTGAGGTACAATTTTGTGTCTGTTATGTTAACAAAAATACATGCATATCTTCCTGGTGATGGTATAAATTGCTGTTCTCTACTGGAAAGCAATTTGGAATGAAAATTTCAAGAACCATTTGAAAACGTGCTATCCTGCATACCTCCATTCCACCCACCCCCAGGGATGTAGCGTACTGAAATAATTTTAAAGAAGTCACCGTATGAGAGAAAATGTTATTGCTATATTGTTATTGTGAGAAATTGGAAATAGACTAAATGTTCAGCACTATAGGAATAATTAATGAAATTATATATACTCTATAAAGTCATTATGCTCTCATTAAAATAATAAATACAAAACTGCAAATGGGGAAAAGCTTATAACGTTAGTCAAAATAAGACCGATTTTTTTATAAAGCAGCAGTTTTCAGACCCTTGGAGACTCCAGTTCAGTAGAACCAGGGCTTCATCTTCTCTCTCAACGCTGTGACAGGAGTTGCGTCTCCTTTTTGCTGAGTTTGCAGCTGCTGTTTTTCTGGCAGCACATCTGTGCAGGCCTCTGCCTCGGCCCCTCTGGATCTGCTGATTGAGCAGCGGATTGATCTGTCCTTCTCTTTCGCGTTGACCTATGTGAGGAACCAACCAGCAAGGGAACAAGAAATGGAAATAGGCCTCGTTTGCATCATGACCTGTACGTCCTGCAGTTGGAAAAGATTGTACTTTAGTTGGTTTAACCAGCAGCATTATTTTTCTAAACTAAGCAGTAAGAAGGAATTGAGTGTAGGGTTAGGGTTTTTATGTGGGATCAACAGACTGGGTCTCAAAAGAGGAAGGTGATAGAACACAGTGCGGAGGGGAGGTGCACTGGAAACAGAGGGCTTATGCTTTCATTCTGGCTTTGCTACTTAATAGCTACGTAACCTAATCTTAGAGACTTAACCTCTCTGAACTTCAGTTTTCTCATCTATAAAATGGGAAATATTAAAAGGATACTCACTGTGCTGGTGGCTTGTGCCTGTAATCCCAGCACTTTGGGAGGCTGAGGTGGGAGAATCACTTGAGCCCAGGTGTTCAAGACCAGCCCAGGCAACATGGCAAGACTCTGTCTCTATGAAAAATTTAAAAATTAGCCAGGTATGGTGGTGTGCACCTGTAGTCTTAGCTACTTGGTAGGCTGAGATGGGAGGATCCCAGCGGTGAACTGTGATTCCGTGCACTCCAGCCTGGGCAACAGAGCGAGACACTGTCTCAAAATGACAACAACAACAAAAGGCAAGAAAATAAAAGTACCCTCTTCACGGACTTGTGTGAGGTGAAGCATATAAACTATTCAACATAGTAACTATATAAGGGAAGTATTGTTGTTACTGTAGTTAATACTGTTAAGTGAGCTGTTTGGTATAGTGGAAAGCACGTGGACTGTGAATTCAGACTGGTCTGACTTTGAGTCCCAGCTCCATATCTAGTAATACTATGACCAAGTCCTCATTAAAATCATACTCTTTTTTCTTCAACCCCAGTCTTCTCACATATAAAATAGGGACACTGTCATTGTTTTATCCTCACAGAAAACTGTGAGGTAGATGACAGTGTATATGCAAGTATTTTGTAAGCTGTATAGTGCTCATCAAGATTTAGTTGGTGTTTACTTCTTGTGCTTTCTCACTGGAATGGCAGACGCTGTTGGACAGCAGGGGCAATGACCACTTTTGGGAACAGCAGTTGGATGGCTTAGATTGGACAGCCCAAGACATTGTGGCGTTTTTGGCCAAGCACCCAGAGGATGTCCAGTCCAGTAATGGTTCTGTGTACACCTGGAGAGAAGCTTTCAACGAGACTAACCAGGCAATCCGGACCATATCTCGCTTCATGGAGGTGAGAATCTGTTGCTTGGATCATTTAGAAAAGACTTAACGGCTGCTTTCTCTGAGACGTTACAATAAGGTTCAGGCAGGAGGCAATTTTAGAAATAATGTATAGTCTCATTTACAAAAGTATCCCTCAAGCCTAATGCAGGATTTGGTAACAAAAGGCACTCAATAAATGTTAGTTGAGTGGTTGAATGAGTAAATAAACTCTAGCTTTAGTAAATGAACTCTAGCTTTATTCTATATAGGCTCAAGAGAATGTTTCTACCCATTTTCTTCTAGGTTTTCCTATCTCAGTGACTAATGGCAGCAAAGCATTCCCTTAATAAAAGGCATTATTTGTGAAACTTACCTAAAATGTAATTCAGGTCCAATTAAATTTTTTAAATTTTATATTAAAAATTATATCAGTAGGGATGGGTAAGAGGTGTTTTGGTCTGTTTGGTTGGCTGGTTAGTTGCTGTGACTCAGAATTGCTAAGAAAACAGAAAAGTAAGATAAGATCATTGTTTTGACCTCTTTTCCTCCATAAAGTCAATAAATAACATATCTCTAAATTATTCCCAGAATTTCTCTTAAATTACAGTGAAAAACCAAAATCCTCCATCCTTGGTTGATGATTGGAAAACTACGTTAGAGAGGATTAGAGAGAGAGGATAAGCAGTCATGTAGTCAGCCCTTGCCTCCTAGGGTAGGATTTGTCTCAGCCACTGCTTGCTGTCCTGGCTGCCAGCGTTCTCACGAAGGCTGTTCTTCTACCAGTGTGTCAACCTGAACAAGCTGGAACCCATAGCAACAGAAGTCCGGCTCATTAACAAGTCCATGGAGCTGCTGGATGAGAGGAAGTTCTGGGCTGGTATTGTGTTCACTGGAATTACTCCAGGCAGCATTGAGCTGCCCCACCATGTCAAGTACAAGATCCGAATGGACATTGACAACGTGGAGAGGACAAATAAAATCAAGGATGGGTAAGTGGAATCCCATCACACCAGCCTGGTCTTGGGGAGGTCCAGAGCACCTACTAGGAAAAAAGGTACTTTAAGAATTTGGTAGAAATTTCAACAACAACAAAAAAACTCAACTTGGTGTCATGATTTTGGTGAAATTGATACATGCCTTGCTGGAAGGTTTTTCAAAGCTCATAAAATGTCAGTACCTTTTGATTTAGCATTTCTACTCAAGAGAATTAATTCCAGGAATTTTGGTGGTGGGCGCCTGTAATCCCAGCTACTCAGGAGGCTGAGGCAGGAGAATCGCTTAAACCCAGGAGGTGGAGGTTCCAGTGAGCTGAGATCGTATCATTGCACTCCAGCCTGGGCAAGAAGAGTGAAACTCCATCTCAAAAAAAAAAAAAAAAAAAAGATACAAAAATAGAAACAGGGGCTTGGTAAGGCTAGCGGGGCTTTGGGTGATTGGTTTTTTTATTGTATGGTTCCAAAGGAATGGTTGATTACCTGTGGTTTGGTTTTAGGTACTGGGACCCTGGTCCTCGAGCTGACCCCTTTGAGGACATGCGGTACGTCTGGGGCGGCTTCGCCTACTTGCAGGATGTGGTGGAACAGGCAATCATCAGGGTGCTGACAGGCACCGAGAAGAAAACTGGTGTCTATATGCAACAGATGCCCTATCCCTGTTATGTTGATGACATGTAAGTTACCTGCAAGCCACTGTATTTAACCAGTTTATACTGGGCCAGATGGGGGTGTGTGTATGTGTGTGAGCGTGTGCATGCACGTTTGAATGATCTGGAAATAAGATGCCTGATGTAAGTTGTCAACAGTTGCAGCCACATGACAGACATACATATATGTGCACACACTAGTAAACCTCTTTGCTTCTCATCCATGGTTGCCACTTTTATTTTTTTTGTTTTTATTTTTTTTGAGATGGAGTCTCGCTCTGTCGCCCAGGCTGGAGTGCAGTGGCTCGATCTCGGCTCACTGCAACCTCCGCCTCCCAGGTTCAAGCTATTCTCCTGCCTCAGCCTCCACAGTAGCTGGGACTACAGGTGCATGCTGCCACGTCTGGCTAATTTTTTGTATTTTAATAGAGACGAGGTTTCACTCTGTTGCCCAGGCTGGTCTCAAACTCCTGAGCTCAGGCAATCCACCCTCCTTAGCCTCCCAAAGTGCTGGGATTACAGGCATGAGCCACCACACCGAGCCCACCACTTGAATTTTTTACACTCTACCCTTTTGGTCAAAATTTGCTCAATCTGCAAGCTTAAAATGTGTCGTGACAAACACATGCAAGCACATACTCACACATACCTTCAGATGCAGAAACAGCATCTAAACTTAAAAAAGCACACTTTATGTAAATGTGTGCACTTCTCCCTAGGTGGTAAACCACATTTCAAAACAACCCAAATAAAACTGAACAAAGCTTCTTCCTCTTCGATTTTTTAGAAAATCTTTTAGTGCTGAGTCACTAAGCTGCCAAGTTCTCATTGTGGGAACTATGCCTTTGGATGTAATGATTTCTTCTAAGAGAATGGGCAGAGGTGTAGTTATTGCAAACATCTGAAATATGTAATGTCTCTTCCAGATTCTGGAAATTCTGTTATTCCCTGTTATTGCTGGCGATGGTGGTGGTGATGGGATGTGTGTGTGTGTGTGTGTGTGTGTGTGTGTGCCTGTGTGTGTGTGTGTGTGTGTGTGTGAGAGGATCAGGATGCAGGAGGAGCAGGGTTCTCCTTGTATTGGCTGTCTGTTTTGCATTGAACAGTCTGTTTCCTTGTATGGCTATCTATAGCTTTTCCAGGTCACCAGAAATTATCCTGTTTTTTACCTTCTAAACAATTAGCTGGAATTTTTCAAAGGAAGATTTTTACAAAGACCCCTAAGCCAAGGTTTACTCTAGAAAGGATGTCTTAAGACAGGGCACAGGAGTTTACAGGCATTAAGAGCTGGTGGCTGTTGTCATGTAGTGAGTTTGTGCCTGCATGATAAAGCTTTAACCTGAGCCTCAAATTCAGGGTCCAGAATCTGTGTCCCTTTTACTTGGCACATCTGCATTTTCTACTCTAGCTTGGAATCTGCAACATTACTGACAAGAACTGCCTGAAGTGTATCTCTGTGCTGTGAGTAGAGTTACGATAAGCAAGTCAATAGTGAGATGACTTTGGAGATGTTGAACTTTTGTGAGAGAATGAGTTGGTATTTTGTTTTGGTTTTTAGTACTTTAAAATAATCTACCTTTAGTTTAAGTATGGCTCACAGTTACCTAGTTACTGAAGCAAGTCCCCAAAGAGATTTGGTTTGGCAACATTTTGTTAGCTTCGTTTTTCTCTCTACATTGCATTGCTTATGAAGCATTGGGTCATATGTACATTTCAGAGTCCAGAGCACCTTTCCTTCTGTGGCCCAGATGTGGTGCGCCCTCTAGCATGCAGGCTCAGAGGCCTTGGCCCATCACCCTGGCTCACGTGTGTCTTTCTCCCCTTGTCCTTCCTTGGGGCCTCCAGCTTTCTGCGGGTGATGAGCCGGTCAATGCCCCTCTTCATGACACTGGCCTGGATTTACTCAGTGGCTGTGATCATCAAGGGCATTGTATATGAGAAGGAGGCGCGGCTGAAAGAGACCATGCGGATCATGGGCCTGGACAACAGCATCCTCTGGTTTAGCTGGTTCATTAGTAGCCTCATTCCTCTTCTTGTGAGCGCTGGCTTGCTGGTGGTCATCCTGAAGGTAAGGCAGCCTCACCCCCTGTTCCCTGCCAGGGAACTCCAAAATAGCTCAACACAGGGTAAGGGAGGAGAAGAAGAAAAAAAATCGAAGCCTCGTGTAGAGAAGGGGTCATACCTATCATTTCCTGCAATTTCGTCAATTTATAGTTGGGGAAAGTGAAGCCCAGAGAGGGGCAGTGACTTGCCCAGGGTCAACCCAGCTGGGTAGCAGCTAAGCAGGACGAGAGTGCAGGGTTCATGCTTTCCAGATAACCACACGCTCAATTGTGCCATGCTGTCTACTTGGTAGTGGTTCATGGCAGCATCTGAGAGCTATTTATTTTCTTAGATATATTGGGTGGCGATTCTTCCCAAGTTTCTAAGAACAGTAATCAGAAGGATATATATTGTTGCAGTTTAGACTGTCTGGAAGCAGAGGCTGAAATAGAGTTTGATGTATGGGTATTTACGAGGGCTCAATACCTGTGGAAGGGATATGGAAGATGCAGGATTGGGCAGAGGGAGGAGTTGAACTGTGATACAGGGCTAACCCCGTGGGGCACTCCAGAGAATATGCAGCTTGTTGGAGTTGTTCTTCATCGAGCTGAAACATCCAGCCCTTTGTGCTCCCCCAAGGCCTCCCTCCTGACACCACCTACCCCAGCCCTCTCAATCAATTGTTGGATGTGGGCTGCCCTGGGAAGGTCATGCCCCAGGGCCTACATGGCTCTCTGCTGCTGTGACAAACCCAGAGTTGCTGATGCCTGAGGCCGTCTCAGCTGGGCAAGCCTTCCCTGAATGGGGACTCTGGGCAGTGCAGTTTTGTGTCTGCACCATACAGTAATATATTTATATCCAAATTTTCTCTCTCTGCAAGCATTTCATATAAAGATGCATCAGGTAAAAATAAATGTGTTTAAAGCAAAGGGAGTACAAAGAGATAAGAACTAACTAATTTAATACTAGATACCATCTGTTACAAATAGTTCCTACTGATTGCCAAGGACTGTTTAAACACATCACATGAGCTGTCTTATTCTATCCTCACTAACCCTTTTAACAGATAAGGAAATGAGGCTCAGGAAGGTCAAGGACTTTACTGAGGTTCCACAGTAGGATACAGTTCTTGCTGAAAGCAACCCCTCCCTCCTGCTCTGATATCTAACTGCAAGGGCGAGGTCAGTGGCAGGGGTGGTGGTCCCCTGATTGGTGCATAAGAGCTGCTCTGAGACAACTGTATGATGGTGGGTCCTGCAGTTGTGTACCTATCAGCCAGAGATAAGCTCAAAATATCCACAAGAGTTTGGATGATTGTGGGAATGCAGAATCCACAGTGATCAAGGGGGAAAGTCAAGTTGCCGGGCCATTTCCCTTGACTTTTAGAGAGAAAAGTTACGTGGGACATTATCTCCCACAGCTCTTCTGTGGTGCCACCAGTCTTAGTTCTTATATAAGGAGAAACTAGTTAAAATTACCTATTGAAGAAACAAAGAGCAAACTCGCCCACTGAGATGTGTAGAAAGCCCTAGACTCTGTTGTCTTCATAACTCTGCCATTATTTTTCTGTGTAGTCTTGGGTAAATCACTTATCTTCTTTATGATGGTTATGATCAGTTTCCTCATCAGAAAAATGAACAGCATTACACCTCTGCATTGTCTCTAACATGACTAGGAATAAACCCTGTTTTTTTTCTGTAGATCATACAAGTGAGTGCTCGGGATTGTTGAGGCAGCGCATTTGATGTGTCTCTTCCTTCCCAGTTAGGAAACCTGCTGCCCTACAGTGACCCCAGCGTGGTGTTTGTCTTCCTGTCCGTGTTTGCTGTGGTGACCATCCTGCAGTGCTTCCTGATTAGCACACTCTTCTCCAGAGCCAACCTGGCGGCAGCCTGTGGGGGCATCATCTACTTCACGCTGTACCTGCCCTACGTTCTGTGTGTGGCATGGCAGGACTATGTGGGCTTCACACTCAAGATCTTCGCTGTGAGTACCTCTGGTCTTTCTTCAGTGGCTGTAGGCATTTGACCTTCCTTTGGAGTCCCTGAATAAAAGCAGCAAGTTGAGAACAGAATTGATAGTCTCTTTCCAATGGGACATGAACCTTTGCTCTAGATTCTAAGCTCTTTAAGGGTTAAGGGCAAGGATTGTGTTTTATTAAATTGTTTACCTTTAGTCTTCTCAGTGAATCCTGGTTGAATTGAATTGAATGGAATTTTTCCAAGAGCCAGACTGCATCTTGAACTGGGCTGGGGATAAATGGCATTGAGGAATGGCTTCAGGCAACAGATACCGTCTCTGCCCCTTTATCTCCCAGCTCTGTTGGCCATGTTAAGCTCATGACAAAGTCAAGGCCACAGATAGAACTGAAAAGTCTTGAGGTCAGAGATGGCCTCTCTTGTCTTCCTTGTGTCCAGTATGGTGTTTGCTTGAGTAATATTTTATGAACTAAACACAACTGAGGAGCGAGTGCCTCATCTTCCCACAAATTCCTGACTTGGACCCTTCCTTCCCTTGTACAGAGCAGGGGGAAATCTTGGATAGTGTGTGAGTCCCTACAAGTGCAAGCTGTCAGATGTCCCCAGGTCACTTATAAGGAAAGCTATGAATCACTCATAGGATGCTCCTGATGCCTCAGTCTGGGCTCCGTGGGCATCAGCAGCCCCAGCCAGGCACCTCTGATCCTGAGCCATCCTTGGCTGAGCAGGGAGCCTCAGAGGACTGTGGGTATGCACACATGTGCAGGGGAACAGGATTGTTGAGCCTTGGGGCATCTTTGGAAACATAAAGTTTTAAAAGTTTTATACTTCATTGTATATGCATTTCTGAAATGTTTGTGTATAATGAGTGGTTACAAGTTGAATCATTTTGTATGTTACTTGGTAGCCCACCACTCCCCTAAAGGGACTCCATAGGTAAATACTACTTCTGTACCTTATGACTGATCCATTTTGCAAATTCAGATTTCTCCAGGTGTAATTTACACTAGAAGAGATAGAAAAATGAGAGAGACCAGAAAATGGATAGGTGACTTTGCCTGTTTCTCACAGAGCCTGCTGTCTCCTGTGGCTTTCGGGTTTGGCTGTGAGTACTTTGCCCTTTTTGAGGAGCAGGGCATTGGAGTGCAGTGGGACAACCTGTTTGAAAGTCCTATGGAGGAAGATGGCTTCAATCTCACCACTTCAGTTTCCATGATGCTGTTTGACACCTTCCTCTATGGGGTGATGACTTGGTACATCGAGGCTGTCTTTCCAGGTACACTGCTTTGGGCATCTGTTAGGAAAATATGACTTCTAGCTATTTTCCTTTCATTGTGCTAGAATCTCTGTAGTGCATGGGCCTCCCTGGGAAGTGGTTTGGGCTAAAGATCTATAGTAAACAGATAGTCTAAGGACAGGCAGCTGATGCTGAAAGTACAATTGTCACTACTTGTATAGCACTTGCTTCTTGAAAACTGTGTGCAAGGCAGCATGCAAAATGTTTTATACACATTGCTTCATTTAATTCTCACAAGGCTACTCTGAAGTAGTTACTATAATAACCAGCAATTTTCAAATAAGAGAACTGTGACTCAAAGATGTTAAGTAACCAGCTGTGGTCACACAACTGTTAAGTGTTGGTACATGGAGGAGAATCCACTTTGGTTACACTGGGTCGTAAGCCCATGCGAATCCTCTCAATGCTCACCCAATTCTGTATTTCTGTGTCCCCAGAGGGGGTACAACTAGGAGATGTTCTGTTTCCTGAGTACAGGTTGTTAATAATTAAATATACTAGCTCTAAGGCCTGCCTGTGATTTAATTAGCATTCAGTAAAAATTCATGTTGAATTTTTCTTTAGTACTTCTTTCTTAATACATCTACTCGACCAAGTCCAAGAGGAACCTGCCTTGGGACAAACTTTCATATGAGATCAAATTCTGAGACAGCAAGATTTAACTCTTTTTGGTTCACCTTCTCATCCTCCCCTAAGGAGATATACATGAAATATTTATTACTCCTGCCTGAACTTCATTCATTGAATATGCAGTTTTGCAGCATGCAGATTCTGGATTTAAATTCTGAGTCCTGAACTTACTGGCTGAGGGACCTTGGATAGGCTCCTTATCCCTCACTTTCCTCATCTCTAAAATGGGGATGGCACCTGCTCCGTGGGTTGTTGGAAGGACTTACAGAGGTGCAGAATGTATGTTGTACATAGCAGGTTTCAACAAATGTTTGCTCCCCCTTTCCCTACATCCATTCCAATCTGTTCCTTCCCCAAAAGATGTGTCAAGGAGGAAATGGACCTGGCTGGGAAACCCTCAGAATACTGGGATGGCGCTGAGCTTGGCTCATACCTGTGCTTGCTTTCAGGCCAGTACGGAATTCCCAGGCCCTGGTATTTTCCTTGCACCAAGTCCTACTGGTTTGGTGAGGAAAGTGATGAGAAGAGCCACCCTGGTTCCAACCAGAAGAGAATGTCAGAAAGTAAGTGCTGTTGACCTCCTGCTCTTTCTTTAACCTAGTGCTGCTGCCTCTGCTAACTGTTGGGGGCAAGCGACGTCTCCTGCCTTTCTAAAAGACTCTGAAATCACTCTAGGGGCAGAGAAATCACATGCAGTGTCCCTTTCCAAATCCTCCCATGCCATTTATGTCCAATGCTGTTGACCTGTTGGGAGTTCACGGTCTGGATCCCTGAGGGACATTTTCTTTGTTGTCTTGGCTTCTAGAAAAGTATCTTTTACTTGCCCCCTCCCAAACGCACATTTTGTGCTCCCCTAACAAACTAGAAGAAAGAGGTAAAGACAAGCATGATTGTGGAACCGTAACCTCCCTGCCTACCTTGTCATGGTGACCTGTGTGTGAGCCTGTGTGGGCTGAGACCAAGTGGCTACCACAGAGCTCAGCCTATGCTTCGTAACGTAATCACCCTTCATTACGTAGATCCCTAATCCTCTCTTGGCTCCTGACTGCAGGCAGAGAAGTCCACAGCTCATCAAAGGCTCTGCCTTCTGGGTTCTTTGTGCTTAGAGTGGCTTCCTAAGTGTTTAATAGGTCCCTTTTCTGCCAGTCTCTTCTGTGCCCATCCCCTGATTGCCCTTGGTAAAAGTATGATGCTCCTGAATGTAGCACGCTTGCCTGCTGTTCCTAATCATCTTCTCCTACCTCCTCTCTACACCTAGCTCCTATTTCAGTCACCTAGAAATGCTCACAGTAGCTGGAATATGTCATGTTCTTCCACACCCCCATGCCTTTGTATGTACTGTTTGCTCTCACAGGAGAACCTTCTCTCTAACTTGCCTATCTTCTCAATTCCTCCTTTCTCTCCAAGATCTAGTTCAGGATCCCCACCCCTGAGCATCCCTCCTTGGTTCTCAGGTAGTCAGTCACTCTCTACCCTGAACTTCCATGGCATGTGAAAGAAAATCTTATTTTTTAAAAACAATTATAGACTCACAAGAAGTAATAAAAGCTACATGAGGGGGTTCCCCCAATGGTAGCACCATGCGTAACTATAGAATAATATCAAAACCATGAAATTAACATTGGTGCAATTCACAAACCTTCAGATTTCACTAGCTTTATGTGCACTCATTTGTGTGTGTGTGTGTATTTAGTTCTATGCAGTTTTATCATGTGTGAATTCATGTAATTACTAGCTCAATCAAGCTGCAGAAATGTCTCATTGTCACAAAGCTCCTTCATGCTACCCCTTAATGGCCACAGCCACCTCCCTTCTTCCTCAGTTCCTGACACCTCTCAACCACTGATGCATTCCTCATTTTTACAGTTTCATTATTTCCAGAATGTTACATAAATGGAACCACACAGTAGGTATCCTTTTGATACTGGCTTTTTTTTTTTTTTTTTTTTCTTCACTCAGCAGAATTCCCTTGTGATCTTTCCAAGTTGTATGTGTCAACAGTTCATTCCTCTTCACTGCTAAGTAGTGTTCCCTGGGAGGGAGGTATCACAGTTCCATGGCGTTTTTGGATGTATTTTTGAAACAACTTTCAGCATCCTGTATTTTAATTGTTCATCAAGTCCTTTTCCCAATAGACTCTGAATGGTCCTTTATCATTGTATTCCCATCACCAACATCAGTATCCAAATAGGCCTTACATAAACATTTGTAGCCTCCTGCCTGCCTGTGAAACCAGGGTGGACATGGAGAGAAGGCATTGCTGAGAGTACGAGCGCAGCGCCATGCGTCCTTACCCTCCACTCCTCGGTGCTTTCTGTGGGTTCATTTCTGTCCTCTCTCCTGTCACAGTCTGCATGGAGGAGGAGCCCACCCATCTGAAGCTGGGCGTGTCCATTCAGAACCTGGTAAAAGTCTACCGAGATGGGATGAAGGTGGCTGTCGATGGCCTGGCACTGAATTTTTATGAGGGCCAGATCACCTCCTTCCTGGGCCACAATGGAGCGGGGAAGACGACCACCATGTAAGAAGAGGGTGTGGTTCCCACAGAATCAGCCACAGGAGGGTTCTGCAGTAGAGTTAGAAATTTATATCTTAGGAAACCATGCTGGTCCCTGGGACAAGGGGAGGAGCACATGAGGAGTTGCCGAGTGTGAAAATATTACGTAATCACGAGTGTCTTTCCACGTGCTAGTTTTCTAGATGTTATTTCTTCAGCCTAAAACAGTCTGGGGCCTCTAGATGTTATTTCTTCAGCCTAAAACAGGCTGGGGCCTCAGATGACCCTTCCCATGTAGTTCACAGAATTCTGCAGTGGTCTTGGAACCTGCAGTCACGAAAAGATAGATTACATATGTTGGAGGGAGTTGGCAATTCCCAGGAACTCTGTCTCTAAGCACATGTGAGAAGCAGCTGGGCAACCGGCTTGACTGCCTTCCCTGGGACCTCAAGGACCGTACAGCAGGTAGTGTCAGGAGGGATCAGGGACTGTAAAGCACCAGCGTTAGCCTCAGTGGTTTCCAGCGTGATTCCTCAACCATTCCAAAGGGTGTATCTTTGGGGGGTGACATTCCTTCCTGTTTCCTTTTAATCTTTTTTTAAAACATAAAATTAATATATTATGAGCTTTTCAGAAGATTTTTAAAAGGTAGTCAGAAATCCTACTACCTAACATAAAAATTATTATCTTTGAATAATATGTTCTTGTTTGTCCATTTTCCGTGTGTGCGATGTTAGGCATACAAAATATATTTTTTAAAGTATACTTTCATTGCAAATTGGAAACTTCATCTAAAAAATGCTCACACTAAAATTGGCATTTCTAACACATAGGCCCACTTGTAGTTATTTACTGAAGTAAAAGGACTGCTTTGCTTTGTTTGGGTCTGGTAGGGTTCATTAGAAAGGAATGGGGCTGGTGGGAGGGTTGGTTTTCTGTTCTCTCTGCAGCCTGAATGGAGCATCTAGAGTTAAGGGTAGGTCAACCCTGACTCCTGTACTTCTAAATTTTTGTCCTCAGGTCAATCCTGACTGGGTTGTTCCCCCCGACCTCAGGCACAGCCTACATCCTGGGAAAAGACATTCGCTCTGAGATGAGCACCATCCGGCAGAACCTGGGGGTCTGTCCCCAGCATAATGTGCTGTTTGACATGTGAGTACCAGCAGCCTGTTAAGAATAGGCCCTTTCTGGATGTGTGTGTCATGCCATCGTGGGAGGAGTGGGACTTAGGCATTTTACTTTGTTATGTTTTTGTTTTTTCTTTTTTCTTTTTTTTTTTTTTTTTGAGACGGAGTCTTGCTCTGTAGCCAGGCTGGAGTGCAGAGTGGTGCTCACTGCAACCTTGGCTTCCAGGTTCAAGCAATTCTCCTGCCTCAGCCTCCCGAGTAGCTGGGACTCTGGGCACACACCACCATGCCCAGCTAATTTTTGTATTTTTAGTGGAGACAGGGTTTCACCATGTTGGCCAGGATGGGCTCAATGTCTTGACCTTGTGATCCGCCCACCACGGCCTCCCAAAGTGCTGGGAACACAGGCATGAACCACTGCGTCTGGCCGCATTTTACTTTCTTTGAATGTGGCAGGCTCACCTCCCTGAACAGCTTGAGACCTAGTTGTTCTTTGATTTTAGAAGAAGTGGGAGGTGAATGGTTGAGCTGAGAGGTGACTTCAGCCCAGCCAGTGGATGGGGGCTTGGGAAACATTGCTTTCCATTATTGTCATGCTGGAGGGCCCTTTAGCCCATGCTCTCCCCCGCCACACTCCTTATTGAGGCCTGGAGCAGACTTCCCAGACCTGGTAGTGCTTCAGGGCCCTGGTATGATGGACCTGTATTTGCTGCTCAAGACATTTGCTCCCACTCAGGTTGTCCCGTCAGCAATAAGGCCCCCAGGGAGCCCGTGTGATGGAGCCAGAGAGAGACCTGAGCTCTGCAATCTTGGGCAAGGCTTTTCCCTTATGTTTCTTCTTATCTAAAGTGAACGGCTGGGGCTCATATGCTCCCTCCTTATCTAAAGTGAACACATGGGGCTCACGTGCAGGGTCCTCCCTGCTTTCAGAGCCTGGGGTCCCCTGAGGTTCAGGAGGGCTGCTCCAGGTGAGTGCTGAGCTGACTTCTTGGTGGACGTGCTGTGGGGACAGCCCATTAAAGACAACATCTTGGGGCACTGAAATTGAAAGCTGGAACTGCCTGGTGCATGGTGGCCAGGCCTGCTGGAAACAGGTTGGAAGCGATCTGTCACCTTTCACTTTGATTTCCTGAGCAGCTCATGTGCTTGCTCACTGTTGTTCTACTTTGAATCTTGAAGATTGTTTTTCAGAAATTGATAAAGTAAAAAAAAAAAAAGTGAGGGGAGAGGAAAATATGCCTATTCTCGTCTGTTCTGAGCTAGGGGACACTGTATTCTGGGGTATCCAGTAGAGCCCAGAGCTGACCTGCCTCCCTGTCTCCAGGCTGACTGTGGAAGAACACATCTGGTTCTATGCCCGCCTGAAAGGGCTCTCCGAGAAGCATGTGAAGGCGGAGATGGAGCAGATGGCCCTGGATGTTGGTTTGCCATCAAGCAAGCTGAAAAGCAAAACAAGCCAGCTGTCAGGTGCGGCCCAGAGCTATCTTCCCTATTCCTCTCCCCTCCTCCTCCAGCTACACACATGCAGAGGAAAATCAGCACTGCCCCAGGGTCCCAGGCTGGGTGAGGTGGGTAATAGAAACTTGTCCCTGGCTGTGTCCCCAGGTCCTCTGCCTTCACTCACTGTCTGGGGCTGGTCCTGGAGTTTGTCTCACTGTTTTTTTTTTGTAGGTGGAATGCAGAGAAAGCTATCTGTGGCGTTGGCCTTTGTCGGGGGATCCAAGGTTGTCATTCTGGATGAACCCACAGCTGGTGTGGACCCTTACTCCCGCAGGGGAATATGGGAGCTGCTGCTGAAATACCGACAAGGTGCCTGATGTATATTTATTCTGAGTAAATGGACTGAGAGAGAGCGGGGGGCTTTTAAGAAGTATGGTTGTGTCGCATGGCTACTCTTCTGTGAAGCCATGTGATTCTCTTCTGTTATCACGGAAGAGATAAAGGGCATTGAGACTGAGATTCCTGAGAGGAGATGCTGTGTCTTTATCCATCTTTTTGTCCCCAACATGGTGCACTAAATTGATGGTTAGTCGAAAGGGTGGATGCATAAATGAATGGAATGGGAGAGGGGCAGGGAGACGATTGGGCTCTCTGGTTAGAGATCTGATGTGGTACAGTATGAGGAGCACAGGCAGGCTTTGAGCCAACCCTGGCTGGTCCCGAGACATTGGGAAAGTCACAACTTGCCTCACTTTCTTTGCCCATAATAATAGTGGTGCTTACGTCATAGATTAAATTAAATAAGAATGCACACAAACCACCTAGCACAATGCCTGGCATATAGCAAGTTCCCAAATAAATGCTACTGTTCTTACCTCTGTCATGATGTGGTACCTATATACATATCCAAAGCTTTGCCATTCTAGGGGTCACAGCCATACAGGGTTAAAGGTGGCTTCCAGGTCTCTTTGCCCTGCTTACCCCTGCTAATCTCTCTCTGGTCCCTGCCACTGTGATAAATGAGAACCGAGAGGCCTCACCCGTCCCACATCCTTGTGTTTGTGCCTGGCAGGCCGCACCATTATTCTCTCCACACACCACATGGATGAAGCGGACGTCCTGGGGGACAGGATTGCCATCATCTCCCATGGGAAGCTGTGCTGTGTGGGCTCCTCCCTGTTTCTGAAGAACCAGCTGGGAACAGGCTACTACCTGACCCTGGTCAAGAAAGATGTGGAATCCTCCCTCAGTTCCTGCAGAAACAGTAGTAGCACTGTGTCATACCTGAAAAAGGTGAGCTGCGGTCTTGGTGCTGGGCTGGTGTTGGGTCTGAGCAGTCAGGACTTGCTGGCTGTGAATGGTTTCCCCACCTCCACCCCTTTTGCCATGTTGAAGCCACCATCTTTCTGCTCTGCCCCTTGGAAATCATATCATACCTCAGGCATGGAAAGCTAAGGAGCCCTCTGTTCCCATTGTGCTAGTTCTGTTGAATCTCGTTTTCCTTTTCCTATGAGGCACAGAGAGTGATGGAGAAGGTCCTTAGAGGACATTATTATGTCAAAGAAAAGAGACTTGTCAAGAGGTAAGAGCCTTGGCTACAAATGACCTGGTGTTCCTGCTCATTACTTTTCAATCTCATTGACCTTAACTTTTAAACTATAAAACAGCCAATATTTATTAGGCACTGATTTCATGCCAGAGAGACTCTGGGCATAAAAGAAAATAATGATAATAATTAATTTTATATAGCATTGTTACCATTTACAACCTTTTTTTTTTTTTTTTAACCTCTATCATCTCAATTAAAGTACAGAGAAACCCTGGGAAGAAGGTAACTATATTTATTATCCCAGATGAGGGAAGTGAGGCTTATAGGGATTTGGTAGCTTATTCAAGGTCACCCAGCAGGTAAATAACAGTGGTAGGATCAGACTCAATTACCGGGTATGTTTTCCCCTGTACCGCAGTACATGCCTGAGATTTCTTTGTGTGTTGAAGCCAGTGGCACCTAACATATTTACATCCCAACCTTAAACTCCTATCCACTTATTTACCTTTTAATGAGCCTCTTGACTCAAGTGCAGTCTGAGGACCAGCAGCATCAGGATCACTTGGGAACTTGTTAGAAATTCAGCAACTTGGGCCCAGCTCAGACCTACCGAATCAGAATCTGTGCATTTTAACAAGGTCCTCAAGTGGTTGAACACACATTGAAGCTTGAGAAGCATTGAAGTAGACATGTAGCCAGGTAAAGGCCTTGCCTGAGATGGTTGGCAAAGGCCTTGTTGCAGCATTCATTGGGAGGCCACAGTTCTTCTGGCAACTCTGCTTCCTGACCTTTCACCCTCAGGAAGCAAGGCTGTTCACACGGCACACACATGCCAGACGGGGTCCTCTGAAGCCACGGCTGCCAGTGCATGTGTCCCAGGGAAAGCTTTTTCCTTTAGTTCTCACACAACAGAGCTGCTTGGAAGCCCTCCCCGGCGAAGGTGCTGGTGGCTCTGCCTTGCTCAGTCCCTGATCCGTTCTCACCTCCTTCTTTGCCATCAGGAGGACAGTGTTTCTCAGAGCAGTTCTGATGCTGGCCTGGGCAGCGACCATGAGAGTGACACGCTGACCATCGGTAAGGACTCTGGGGTTTCTTATTCAGGTGGTGCCTGAGCTTCCCCCAGCTGGGCAGAGTGGAGGCAGAGGAGGAGAGGTGCAGAGGCTGGTGGCGCTGACTCAAGGTTTGCTGCTGGGCTGGGGCTGGGTGGCTGTGGGGGTGGGTGCAGCTTGGTGGTGGGTTGGCCTAATGCTTGCTGGGGTGCCTGGGGCTCGGTCTGGGAGCTAGCAGGGCAGTGTCCCAGAGAACTGAGATGACTGGGATTTGGGGAATCCCTTAGGGGAGTGGACACTGAATACCGGGGATGAGGAGCTGAGGGCCAAGCCAGTGGGCTGGGATTTGAGCCTAGTATATAAGAAGAGTGAGAGCCCAGGAGATCAGGAACAGCCTTCCAGATTTTTCTTGGGTAGCGTGTGTAGGAGGCCAGTGTCACCAGTAGCATATGTGGAACAGAAGTCTTGACCCTTGCCATCTCTGCTGAGTCCTAATGGCTGGCTTTTCCCAGGAAGACTTCTGCTTCCATGAACTGTTAGATTAACCCTCTATTTAGGTAAATGAGGGAGCCTACTTTTCAAGTATAGGAAAGGGTGAAGAATCTTCTAAGATTCCTTTACTCAAGTTTTCTGTTGAAGAATCCCAGAGCTTAGGCAATAGACACCAGACTTTGAGCCTCAGTTATCCATCCACCCATCCATCCACCTACCCACCCATCCTCGCATCCACCCATCCACCCATCCACCCATCCACCCATCCTACACTGAGTACCTACAATGTGCCTGGCTTTGGTGATACAAAGGTGAATAAGACATAGTCCTTTCCTTTGCCCCCAACCCTCAGACCAGAGATGAACATGTGGAATGATTAAAAATACCTGGAACAGGTGTGGTGTATGAGCAGCAGGCTTCTGAGGAGAGGGTGGGGGATGGCCAGCCCTCACTCTGGAGCCCCTCTGCGTTGATTGAGCCATCTTTGCATTCTGGTCCCTGCAGATGTGTCTGCTATCTCCAACCTCATCAGGAAGCATGTGTCTGAAGCCCGGCTAGTGGAAGACATAGGGCATGAGCTGACCTATGTGCTGCCATATGAAGCTGCTAAGGAGGGGGCCTTTGTGGAACTCTTTCATGAGATTGATGACCGGCTCTCAGACCTGGGCATTTCTAGTTATGGCATCTCAGAGACGACCCTGGAAGAAGTAAGTTAAGTGGCTGACTGTCGGAATATATAGCAAGGCCAAATGTCCTAAGGCCAGGCCGGTAGCCTGCATTGGGAGCAGGATTATCATGGAGTTAGTCATTGGGTTTTTAGGTCATTGACATCTAAGTAATGTTGACTCCAGTTAGCCATTTAAGATGGTGGTGGGAGACAGCAGGAAAGAAGTATTTTCCTCTGTACCACAGTACATGCCTGAGATTTATTTGTGTGTTGAAACCAGTGGTACCTAACAGATTTACATCCCAACCTTAAACTCCTATCCACTTATTTACGTTTTAATGAGCCTCTTTACTCAAGTAAAGTGTGAGGACCAGCAGCATCAGGATCACCTGGGAACTTGTTAGAAATTCAGCAACTTGGGCCCAGCTCAGACCTACTGAATCAGAATCAGGAGCAATTCCCTGGTGTGACTGTGTCACAGCCAGGTATCAACTGGATTCTCATACATAGGAAATGACCAACATTTATGAATGGATAGTCTACTTACGTGAGGTGCTGAGATTTGTTTTTTTTTTTTTAAATCACTGTGACCTCATTTAATTCTCATAAAAAGATGAAAAAATGAACACTCAGGAATGTTGACATGAGATTCAGAATCAGGGATTTGGGGCTTCAAAGCCCATCCTCTCTTTATCCATGTAATGCCTCCCCTTAGAGGTCCAACATCACAGACCTTGACGGCTGAAGGGGATATAAAAGCTGTCTGGCCCAGTGGTCTCCAAGTTTGACAGTGCAGCAGAATCACCTGGGGATGTTACTAAAAGTAAACATTCTAAGGTTTGGCTTCAGGGCCTGTGCATCAGAATTTCTGGAGGTAAGGCCTTGAAGTCTGTACTTCCGTTGCATGCTTCGGACGCAGTGGTCTATAGACTAGAGTTTGGAAATTATTGCGCTCATTCAGATTCTCTTCTGATGTTTGAATCTCTGCCATCGTATTTCTAGTGCTCTATTTCCTCCTGCTCATTCTGTATTGGATAACTTGTCATAGTGCTAGCCTACTCAAAGATTTAGAGCCACAGTCCTGAAAGAAGCCACTTGACTCATTCCCTGTAGGTTCAGAACAAATTTCTTCTGCTGCAGTGTCCTACTGTCATAGCTTTTTTTTTTTTTTTTTTGGATGAGACAGGAGTTTTGCTCTTATTGCCCAGGCTGGAGTACAGTGGTGCGATCTTGGCTCACCACAACCTCCACCTCCCAGGTTCAAGTGATTCTCTTGCCTCAGCCTCCCGAGTAGCTGGAATTACAAGCATGTGCTACCACGCCCGGCTAATTTTGTATTTTTAGTAGAGACGGGTTTTCTCCATGTTGGTCAGGCTGGTCTCGAACTCCCGACCTCAGGTGATCAGCCCGCCTTGGCCTCCCAATGTGCTGGGATTATAGGCATGAGCCACCGTGCCCAGCCATAGCTTTAATTTAAAAATGATTGTCTAGATTGATAGCTCTCACCACTGAGGAAATGTTCTCTGACAAAAACAGCTTCTCTCCCAAGTGACTCTGACAAAGTGTTATTAAGAAATGTGGCTTCTCCTTTCTCTGTCTTAAGGGGCTAACATGCCACTCAATAATGTAATAATCATGGCAGTGATGACTGCTTTCGTAATGTTGGTGCTTATCATGTTCTCACCTGCTCTCATTTTGCAGATATTCCTCAAGGTGGCCGAAGAGAGTGGGGTGGATGCTGAGACCTCAGGTAACTGTCTTGAGGGGGAATGGCACACTTAAGATAGTGCCTCCAGCTGGCTTTCTCAGCGCATGAGTATTGTTCCTTTCCCTTTGAATTGTTCTATTGCATTCTCATTTGTAGAGTGTAGGTTTGTTGCAGATGGGGAAGGTTTGTTTTGTTGTAAATAAAATAAAGTATGGGATTCTTTCCTTGTGCCTTCAGATGGTACCTTGCCAGCAAGACGAAACAGGCGGGCCTTCGGGGACAAGCAGAGCTGTCTTCACCCGTTCACTGAAGATGATGCTGTTGATCCAAATGATTCTGACATAGACCCAGGTATGTTAGGGCAAGATCAATCAGTGTCCCACTGTTTGAATGTGAAATTCTCTCTCATGCTCCCAGCTGTTTTCTTGGGATGGCCTTTAGCCAAGGTGATAGATCCCTACAGAGACCAAAGAGATGTGAGGAAATGATAAAAGCCCCTTGTTCTTTGCAGTGTCGTGCATGTGATCAAACCTGAAAGAGCCCATCCATATCACTTCCTTTAAAGACGTAAAGATGGTGCCTCAATCCTCTGAAACCATGTATTTATTATCTTTTCTGCAGGGTCCTAGTTTCTTGTATATATTAGGTGTTTAATTGTTGAACAAATATTCTTTCAAGTAGATGAATTATTTTGGAAGAGTCAGAAAGGGGAATTTGCTGTTAGAGTTAATTGTACCCTAAGACTTACATATTTGAGGCCGGGCACACTGGCTCATGCCTGTAATCCCAGCTCTTTTAGAGGCCGAGGTGGTTAGATCACCTGAGGTCAGGAGTTTGAGACCAGCCTGACCAACAAGGTGAAACTCCATCTCTACTAAATACCAAAAATTAGCCGAGTGTGGTGGCACATGCCTGTAATTCCAGCTACTTGGGAGGCTGAGGCAGGAGAATCGCTTGAACCTGGGAGGCAGAGGTTTCAGTGAGTCAAGGTTGCGCCATTGCACTCCAGACTAGGCAACAAAAGTGAAAACTCCATCTCAAAAAAAAAAGACTTAGATATTTTAGATGAGTGTGTCTTTGTGTATTTAACTGAGATGGAGAGGAGAGATAAGACATCAAACAAATATTGTTAAGATGTAAAAGCACATCAGTTAGGTATCATTCATTTAAGACAAGGATTTCTAGAAAATGTTTAGGAACAGAAAACTTTCGAGTTCTCTCACCCCTGCTCACAAGAGTGTATGGCTCTTACATTATATATAATTGCCTGACTTCATACAGTATCAGTACTTAGATCATTTGAAATGTGTCCACGTTTTACCAAAATATAATAGGGTGAGAAGCTGAGAAGCTAATTGCCATTGTGTGTTCTCAAATATGTCAAGCGATGTACATGGCCTGTTTCATAGAATAGTCTATAAGAAATTGATGACTCAATTCATCCGAATGGCTGGCTGTAATACCTGGTTATGCATGAACACATCTTTTCAGTTGTCTCAAGACACCTTTGTTTTCTGTACTTGTCAGACAAGGACTGAAAGGCAGAGACTGTTCCTGTTAGACATTTTGAGTCATAACTCTTCCTTGGACATAGCTTTGGCCTAAAAGTTTACTTCTGAGAAACTTTTAGCTTCAGACACACGCCTCCAAGATAGTTGTTGAAGACACCAGAAGAAGGAGCATGGCAATGCCGAAAACACCTAAGATAATAGGTGACCTTCCGTGTTGGCTTCTTGCAGAGTCCAGAGAGACAGACTTGCTCAGCGGGATGGATGGCAAAGGCTCCTACCAGGTGAAGGGCTGGAAGCTTACACAGCAACAGTTTGTGGCCCTTTTGTGGAAGAGACTGCTAATTGCCAGACGGAGTCGGAAAGGATTTTTTGCTCAGGTGAGATGTGCTGTTTTGGCTAGAGACGCTGGCCTCATGGGTGGGCTGCAGGCTCTGTGACCAGTGAAGGCAGGATAGCCTCTTGGTCAAGATACGGATGCTGGAGCCAGATTTATCTGTATTTCAATCCCAGTTCTATTCCTTGCCAGTGTTGTATCTGCTGGCAAGTTACTTCTCTATGCCTCAATCTCCTCATCTGTAAAATGGGGATAATAATATTACCTGCAGTACAGGGTTGTTACGAAAATAAAAACAAATAGGTGCTTAGAATGGGGCCTGACATTAGCAAGTGCTTACTTTTGTGTGCGTATATGTTATTTTGGAGGCGAACATAAAAAGGACAAAGTATAGAAAAACTGATCAGGTGTATTCAGCTGTCGTAACATGAGAGTTGTTATACCCAGATGCACTTGACATGTGAACTTATTAGAAACTTGATTTTTCTCTGAGTTGATGTTTAACTCAAACGGGTAGAAAAGGTAGGTCAGAATATAGTTGGCCAACAGAGAAGACTTCTTACACTATTGTCTGCATGTCAGTGTTTGCATGCTAACTTGCTTAGTTAGAAGGGTTAGATTTTTTCACTCTGTAAAATCAAGAAATGTAGAGAAAAGGTCTGCAGAGAATCTTCCACATTGATGATGTGGATACTGTTAAGAGCAGGAGTTTGGAGCATACAGAGAGCTAGAGTTGAATCCTGACTTTGCTACTTATTGGCTGTATGACCTTGGGCAAGTTGCTTAATCTCTCTGATCCTCAGTTACCTTTGTTTGTTGATGATAATCATTGATAACACAACCATAAATAATGACAACAGAGATAATTCTCATTATAGTACTTATTATACAGACTTATTCACTCAATGTCAATTTTCTTCATTGAAATCCCAGAACATTAGAATTGGGGGCATTGTTTGAATCTTTAAGGTTATAAGGGATACATTTCTGAACAATAAATGGGAGGAGCTTTGGGTTTACTTACAAAGTATGCCCAAGTCATTTTTTTTTTTTTCAGAGAAGATATGGTAGAAAGTCTTAGGAGGTTGAAGAAGGAATTGGATATTTATTCTTTGTGAGACTGTCACGGGAGACAATGACTATGGTTGTCCGTGATTGGAGCCATTGCTGTAGAGTTGGTTTTATTATAGTGTAGGATTTGAATGGGCCGTGTGTTCTCAGACCTCAGATTAAAGTGAGAAAACTGAGGCCAGTGGGGAGAGTGACTTCACATGGGTGCACTTGTACTAGAGACAGAACCAGGATTCAGGACTTCTGGCTCCTGGTCCTGGGTTCATGGCGCCCAATGTGGTCTTTCTCAGTCTTCAGGAGGAAGAAGGGCAGGACCCAGTGTTCTGAGTCACCCTGAATGTGAGCACTATTTACTTTGTGAACTTCTTGGCTTAGTGCCTCTGCCAGGTGGCCATAGCCTCTGGCCTTGTGCTGCCAGAGAAAAGGTTTAGTTTTCAGGCTCCATTGCTTCCCAGCTGCCAAGAATGCCTTGGTTCAGCACAGTCATAGGCTCTGCACTCCTCATTGCCGTGCTGGTTGGTCGGGGAGGCTGGCTGGACTCGTAGGGATTTGCCCCTTGGCCTTGTTTCTAACACTTGCCATTTTCCTGCTGTCCCCCTGCCCCCTCCGCTGCCTGGGTAAAGATTGTCTTGCCAGCTGTGTTTGTCTGCATTGCCCTTGTGTTCAGCCTGATCGTGCCACCCTTTGGCAAGTACCCCAGCCTGGAACTTCAGCCCTGGATGTACAACGAACAGTACACATTTGTCAGGTATGTTTGTCTTCTATGTCCCAGGAGGGGATAAGATTCAAGCAGACCAAAGATGTTTACGAGGGCCAAGGGAATGGACTTCAGAATTACACAGTGGAATAAATTTTACTTCTGTGACTCGGGTCCCTGTATAAGCTAATACTGCATGCATAGAACAGCAGCGAACTAACCCTGAATAATAGGCCAGTCTTCTGTTGAGCCTTTCAGCCTCTCTCCTCTTTATCCTACTGTTGTCAGGAACAGCCACATGTGTTTTAGGTAAAATAATCTGCCCTTGCAAAAATCCACGATTAAGTTATAAAATATTTGAATTTGTGGAGCTGTGTTTTAATTCTGTAATTGACTCACAGGGCACGCTATCAAAGCATAGAACCTCCAGAGACTTGTTTTCTGCAAAGTATAATTCATATAATTATTATCTATTCTGTTATATTTGGGATGTTAGCTAGTGTTTGTTCTTTAGACAAAAATTTCCTCCTCTCCATAATAATACATTACATCAAAGAAAAGGATAAAGGATATTTCTGGGTCTTGTTAGCAGGAGCTTTCTTCAGTCCTGTAGGATTTGTAGACCTGTAGATGGGGGAACTGTATCAGTGATACAAAAGGGAAGCATTAGAAAAAAAAATATATATATATATACACACACACACACACACACACATATATATATATTTTTATGTAAATGTGAATTAGCCTCTTTTTCTCTAAGCCCACGTTTTCTTCTTACATAGTTCAGGTTTACTTTATTTTTTCCTTTCCAGCTGCTGACCCGGTATTGCCCGTGGTCGTGGAACATAGCATGTGTTTGTGACTTGTGCCTGTTATTTTTGTGCTTTCTAGTTGTGCATGCAGAGTGCAAAGTTTTCTTGCCCTTTCTTGGAAAATCCTGCTTGTCTGTGCCAAAGGGATAATCACAAAAGCACTTTTGAAATACTTAATGAGTTGATTTACTTCAAATTTAAAAAATATATAAATGTATACGTGTATGTACATGCATGTACACATACACACCTTTATACATATAGCCCATTTATACAAGCTCCACTTTGGAGTGCTCTATGTCACCCTGATGCCGAATACAGGGCCAGAGTCTGAGATCCTTCTGGGTGGTTTCTGTGTTTTGTTCATTTCTGTTTTAAGAACCTATCACAGAGAAATGCTTCCTAAAGTGTTTAATTTATAAAACATTTGTATCTCTTGATGACTGGTTTTAATGAATTCCTAAGCTGGTTGCCTCTTATGTACCCACAGCAATGATGCTCCCGAGGACACGGGAACCCTGGAACTCTTAAACGCCCTGACGAAAGACCCTGGCTTCGGCACCCGCTGTATGGAAGGAAACCCCATCCCGTGAGTGTCACTTTAGCCATCAGCTGGCTTCTTGTGCTTGTCACCTGGTTTGATTTCTAATATGCTGCATTTATCAACTGCATGCTACATTGTGACCACCAGCATTTGCCCTTTGAATTATTATTATGTTTTAATTACAAAAAGCCAGTGTAGTAACCTAGCTAAATTATCTAGGAGCAAACGTTTGGAGAGTCTTCTAACACCATGCAAAGCACATCATTTCAGACATTTGTTTACTGATTTAGAACATTAATATTTAATTTAAATAGCACTTTAGACTTGCTGATCAAATGCTTTTCCTTTCTTTCTCTCCCATTCCCTGTACTTAAGTGCTTCAGTAGGCTCTCAGTATATATAATTTTCAGGTTTTGTTTATCATCTTCTTCGCTTTTATAATCTGTAAAGATGACATATGAATTTTTATAAAAAAGACACTTTCTTCTTTTCAAATTGTATATTTTTATTGTACTTTCCTTCAAAATCCCCTTTTCAAAAGTAGGCAGTGGATAAATAAATTCAGTGAAGCATCCATATGACTCTTAAGTGTGTGTAGGGGAAGGGAGGTCACTGGATCACTGTGAGTAAAGATGGTGGAGAGGTGAGGATCTTATGAGGCAGTGCTCAAGGCTAGTAGAGATGGGTTAGTGTTTCCAGGCTTAGGCAGAATCTCAGCTGAGGTCATGAAACAACAGTGATCTCTGAAAAATTATGACAAGGTGGGAAGGTGCTGGAGAGTTGGAGAGAGGGGCAAACTTGACTTTCAAGTTTTAATGGGAAGATGGGTGACTCTGCACACCACAAAACAGTGAGCCTGATAACCTGTTTATACGAGGTTCTAGAGACGATTTCTAAATGGGTAGCTACTGTGTGCTTGTTTGTTCTTAATTAGTATTGGATAGTTGCTAAATACTTGTTAGTACTTAGTAGTTAGTACGTGATGGGTGGTAAATCCTAGCAGCCAATATTGGTTCCCAAATAACCAGATGGCAAGGATAGAGAAGGACACAGATACGGCCTATCTGAATTTCATGGTGCCTTTGATTTTCCACACGAAGGTTGTATAGGAAAGATAGAAGCATGAGATGAGATGATAATATAGTTATCTGGATTCATCACTGGCCAGCTGAACCATATGAACTCATGGATTGATGCCAGCTTAGGAAGGCTCTGTAGGAGCCAGAACTGGGTTGAGAGCCAGCCCGTAGAGACAAAATAGGCCCAGCCCTGACATCAGAGGGTTCAAACAGCCCCACCTACAGTCTGCCAGAGGTGGTAGGAAGGGAGGGCCTTTATCCTGGCAACTCTTACTGAAATTCAGATTTTTAGGTTTTTGCCAAAAAATGGTAGACATGAAGGAAATTTGACAGGAGCATGTCTCAGCAGTATTTAAATTTGTCTTAGCCAATCCCCTTCTGAATGTTCAGAGTGTGAGCTTCAGGAGGGCAGCGTGTCTTTGTGTGACTTTTCCAGTCAGTTCAGGTGCTTTAAGGAGACAATTAGAGATCAATCTGGAAAACTGTTCATTTGAATTTTTAATACATAAGAAAATAATAAGAAATAGTTTAAAAATATATGTGTGTGTGTGTGTGTGTGTGTGTGTGTGTGTGTGTGTGTGTATATATATATATATATTTATTTATTTTTTTTTTTTGAGATAGAGTCTTGCTCTGTCGCCCAGACTGGAGTACAGTGGCTCAATCCTGGCTCACTGCCACCTCTGCCTCCCAGGTTCAAGTGATTCTCCTGCCTCAGCCTCCTGAGTAGCTGGGATTACAAGCATGTGCCACCACACTGGCTAATTTTTCTAATTTTAGTAGAGATGGAGTTTCACCATGTTGGACAGGATGGTTTTGAACTCCTGACTTAAAATGATCCACCTGGCTTGGCCTCCCAAAGTTCTGGGATTACAGGCATGAGCCATCGTGCCCGGCAATTATATTTAATAGTTAATAATAAGGAAATAATTGCTGTAGCTTTACTTTAAATTGTGGAATTCCGAAACTGGAAGGGAACTGGAAATGACTTGTTGAATCAAGTCATTTTAAACTTTTATTTTGCCAGTGGAAAAAATAAGCCCCCAAAAGAGCAGGGAACTTACTGATGTCCCACAGTAATTCACAGCTGGAGACAAGGTTAAAGGCTTTGTGTCTTATCTCCAGGGAAAATTTGTAGATAGCCTAGCTCTTTATGTGCTGAGCACTCTCACCCCAGGCATCCCCCAATTCTCCACTCATTTGAGAACATAAATTGGATCTTGCCACTCTCTACTCATTTTTCAGCACGTCGAGCATAAGATCCAGACTGTTTCCCAGGCCTCTGTCATCTGGCTCCTCTCCTCCTCGTTTATCATTACTCTTCTTCGTAGCTTATCCTACTCCAGCCATGCTGTCTTCCTGTTATCCCTCAAAAATAGAAACGCATTTCTTCCTAGGGCCTTTGTTCCTGCACTTGCCATCGCTTTTGCTCATTATGTTCTTTTCGTCAAATCTTTGACCAGCTTGTTCTCCATCATTGTTTATGTTTTGACTGAAATGTCTTCTCTTCAGTAGGTCCATTCTCCCCAATCACTGTCTTTTTATTTTGCTTTATTTTGGGCCATCTAAGATTATCTTATTAGTTTATTTGTTGTTTGACTCCTCCATGGCCATATACCTCCATGAAGGCAGGTATTGTCACCTTAGGCCCTCAAATATACTGGACAGCATCTGGCACATAGTAGATGCTCAACGAATATTTGTTGTGTGAGCAAATGGTTGGTTGATTGGACTGAACAGAGTTCAGTATGTAAACGTTTAGGGCCTCTTTGCATTCTATTTTACTTATGTATAAAATGATGATACATAATGATGATATAAATGATGTCACAGTGTACAAGGCTGTTGTGGGATCAGGCAATCAAATGAGATCATGCTTGTCTTTTCCAAATGGTGAGGGAGTAGATGCATGTTGGTGGTCATTATGAAATGATCCTGTGCTCCTGAGGCAACAGAAAGGCCAGGCCCTCTCGGGTAATCCTCCTCTTGCTGTCTTCCCTTTGCAGAGACATGCCCTGCCAGGCAGGGGAGGAAGAGTGGACCACTGCCCCAGTTCCCCAAACCATCAAGGACCTCTTCCAGAATGGGAACTGGACGATGCAGAATCCTTCACCTGCATGCCAGTGTAGCAGCGACAAAATCAAGAAGATGCTGCCCGTGTGTCCCCCAGGGGCAGGGGGGCTGCCTCCTCCGCAAGTACGTCACTTTCAGGGTGTGACTGGGCAGAAGGGGTAGAGGGTGGGCTGGTAGCTTCTGCTTGGAAGCAGGAATGAGTGAGATGCCATGTTGGGAGGGTCTGTCTTTTTTCTCTTTTTCTTTGAGGCGGAGTCTTGCTCTGTTGCCCAGGCTGGAGTGCAGTGGCATGATCTTGGCTCACTGCAACCTCCCCCTCCCAGGTTCGAGTGAGTCTCCTGCCTCAGCCTCCAAAGTAGCTGGGATTACAGGCATGCACCACCATGTCCGGCTGATTTTTGTGTTTTTAGTAGAGATAGGGTTTCGCCATGTTGACTAGGCTGATCTGGAACTCCTGACCTCAGGTGATCCACCTGCCTCGGCCTCCCAAAGTGCTGGGATTACAGGTGAGAGCCACCTGTTTACCCCTGATTACAGGTGAGAGCCCAGCCCTGTTTCAGTCTTTAACTTGCTTCTTGTCATAGGAAAAAGCATGTGAGTTTTGAGGGGAGAGGGTTTGGACCACACTGTGCCCATGCCTGTCCCACAGCAGTGAAGTCACAGGACAGACTGTGACAGGCCTGGCTTCCAATCTTGGCTCTGCAACAAATGAGTTGGTAGCCTTTGACAGGCCACTTTAACTCCCTGGACCTGTTTCTTCACCTCTGAATTAGGGAGGCTGGATCAGAAAACTCCTGTGGATCTTGTCAACTCTGGCATTCTTGGAGACTCTGTTTGGGAAGGAGTCTTTTTTTTTTTTTTTTTTTTTTTTTTTTGAGAATTTCAGGAAGAGGAGTGCTTATGATAGCTCTCTGCTGCTTTTATCAGCATCCAAATTGCAGGGTGAGGACAAGCAATTCTAAATGAGTACAAGAACTAAAATAAGTCTTGGTTACCACTCTTTAAAATAATAGCTAGGCCAGGTGCAGGGTGGCTCACACCTGTAATCTCAGTATTTTGGGATGCTGAGGCGGACGAATCACCTGAGGTCAGGAGTTTGAACCAGCTTGGCCAATGTGGCGAAACCCTGTCTCTACTAAAAATACAGAAATTAGCCAGACATGGAGGCATGTGCCTGTAATCCCAGTTACTTGGGAGGCTGAGGCAGGAGAATTGCTTGAACCTGGGAGGTGGAGGTTGCAGTGAGCCAAAATTGTGCCACTGCACTCCAGCCTGGGCAACACAGTGAGACTCCGTCTCAAAAAATAAAATGAATAAAATAACAGCTAATCTAGTCATCGGTATAACTCCGATGAACAAAAGATTTATTAGGCATAGGGAATGATGGTGCTTCCTAAAAATCTCTTGACTACAAAGAATTTCATTTCAATGTTTATTGTTAGATGTTCAGAATAAATTCTTGGGAAAGACCTTGGCTTGGTGTAAGTGAATTACCAGTGCCGAGGGGTAGGGTGAACCAAGTCTCGGTGCTGGTTGACTGAGGGCAGTGTCTGGGGCCTGTAGTCAGGTTTCCGGTCGCACTGTGGACATGGTCACTGTTGTCCTTGATTTGTTTTCTGTTTCAATTCTTGTCTATAAAGACCCGTATGCTTGGTTTTCATGTGATGACAGAGAAAACAAAACACTGCAGATATCCTTCAGGACCTGACGGGAAGAAACATTTCGGATTATCTGGTGAAGACGTATGTGCAGATCATAGCCAAAAGGTGACTTTTTACTAAACTTGTCCCCTGCCTTATTATTACTAATTAGAGGAATTAAAGACCTACAAATAACAGACTGGAACAGTGGGGGAAGTGCCAGATTATGGCCTGATTCCATCTATCGGAAGTTTAGGATATTATCCCAAACTAGAAAAGATGATGAGAGGGACTGTGAACATTCAGTTGTCAGCTTCAAGGCTAAGGCAGCCTAGTCTAGAATGAAAATAGAAATGGATTCAAAGTCAAATTCTGCCACTTAGTAGCAACTTGACCAGGTAACTGGTTATCCTTTTAAAGCCTTAGTTTATCTAAATTGTGATATTAATGTTGCTCTTGTAAGTTTGTTATGAGGACTAAATTAAATGACGTACATAAAGTGCCTTGGGTACTCTCTGATAGGGGACTCCATGATAATTTGTGGTCTCATGGAGGGAGCCCTGGGAAGGTTTAGGAGCCTGCCTTGGCTGTGGAGCCTTGGGAGAGCCGTCTAGCTTCCCGGGACATGGCAGCCTAGTGTTAAATGCTTAGCTCAGCAAATGTTTGTTCTGGTTTCCTTCCCATCAACTTGGTCAGTTGGGGTCTTTCACTTAGGAGTTTCTCAGTGCCTTTAAGTGGCACGGGCATGCTGGAATGATAGTGACCATGAGTTTCCAAGAAAAAAGCATAACTTCTCCTTATGTCATCCACAATTGAAATATTATTGTTAATTGAAAAAGCTTCTAGGCCGGGCACAGTGGCTCACACCTGTAATCCTAGCACTTTGGGAGGCCAAGGCGGGTGAATCACTTGAGGTCAGGAGTTCAAGACCAGCCTGGCCAACATGGGGAAACTCCGCCTCTACTAAAAATACAAAATAAGCTGGGCGTGGTGGCACGTGCCTGTAATCCCAGCTACTTGGGACACTGAGGCAGGAGAATTGCTTGAACCCGGGAGGCGGAGGTTGCAGTGAGCTGAGGTCACGTCATTGCACTCTAGCCTGGGCAACAAGAGCGAAACCGTCTCCAAAAAAAAAAAAAGAAAAGAAAGAAAAAGCTTCTAGTTCACTTACATCTTGGTCTATAAGGTGGTTTGTAAATTGGTTTACCCCAAGGCCTGATTCTCATATAAGTAATAGGGTACTTACGATGGAGAGAAGGCTGGAAGAGGCCTGAGCATAGGCCTCTTTTCTCTGGCACAACCCTACAAGGCCAGCCTGATTCTAGGATTATTTCTGTCCCTTCCTTATATCCTCAGGTGGGTATTTACTCCTTTTGCATCATCAGGAATAGGCTCAGTGCTTTCTTTGAACTGATTTTTTGTTTCTTTGTCTCTGCAGCTTAAAGAACAAGATCTGGGTGAATGAGTTTAGGTAAGTTGCTGTCTTTCTGGCACCTTTAGCTCAGGGGGAGGATGGTGTTGTAGGTGTCTTGGATTGAAGAAAGCTTTGGAGATTGTTTGTCACTCACACACTTATGGGTACCACCTCACCGTAAGGAGGACAGAAGCCCTGTGAACGTGTGGAGCACACAGGGGCACAGACAGATTTAGATTAGACCTGCTTTTAGAGCTTCTGCCTAGAGCATCGTAGCTCAGTGCCTAGTGGCCCCTCCAGAGGCCTCTGAAATATCTGATGTACTGATTTCCTTGAGGAGAATCAGAAATCTCCTGTGGGTGTCTAGGGAGTTCAAGTAAGTAGTGTTGTGAGGGGAATACCTACGTGTACTTTCCCCCCAAACCAGATTCTCAAGGCTTCTTAAGGACTCAAGGACAATTTCTAGGCATGTAGCAAGGGACTAAGAAGATCTTAGAGGAAATAAGAAGCACCAAAAGCATCTCTGTGCACTGTATTTCAACCCATTTTTCCATCTGGGTTTTGAAGGAACAGGTGGGACTGGGGATGGAAGAATTCTAGAGGCCAGTTTGTCCATCATGAAAAATGAGATAGCTGATGTGGCTACCTCAGGGGGCCCGAAGGCTCCTTGTTACTGATTTCCACCTTTTCTGTCTGCCTTTTCCCCAAGGGCCAGGACCCTTGGATCTCTGGGCAGAGCAGACGCAGGCCCCTATAATAGCCCTCAGGCTAGAAAGGAGCCGGGACCTGCGTATAAGGCCAGTGTAGCCTACTCTGGACAGTGCAGGGTTCCCACTCTCCCAACTTCCCATCTGCTTGCCTCCAGACCCACGTTCACGCCCGAGTCACTGGGTCGGAGGAGCATCTGTGAGATGAAACACCATTCTTTCCTCGATGTCTCAGCTATCTAACTGTGTGTGTAATCAGGCCAGGTCCTCCCTGCTGGGCAGCAACCATGGGAGTTAAGAGATTGCCAACATTTATTAGAGGAAGCTGACATGTAACTTCTCTGAGGCAAAATTTAGCCCTCCTTTGAATAGGAATTTGACTCAGTGAACCTTGTCCACACTCGCATTGAGTCTCCTGCTGAGTGGTATGTGCACCCCACTGTCTGGGTTTTAATGTCAGGCTGTTCTTTTAGGTATGGCGGGTTTTCCCTGGGTGTCAGTAATACTCAAGCACTTCCTCCGAGTCAAGAAGTTAATGATGCCATCAAACAAATGAAGAAACACCTAAAGCTGGCCAAGGTACAATATCTATCATGAGACGTATCAGAAAAATGAGCGTGTGGCTGCTGGGATGTAGGAGTAGTTGGCAGGTTAAATGGATCACCTGGCAGCTCATTGTTCTGAATATGTTGGCATACAGAGCCGTCTTTGGCATTTAGTGATTTGAGCCAGACAAAACTGAATTACTTAGTTGTACATTTAAAAGTGTAGGTCAAAAACAAATCCAGAGGCTAGGTGCCATGGCTCATGCCTGTAATCCTAGCACTTTGGGAGGCGGAAGTGAGTGGATCACTTGAGGTCAGGAGTTCGAGACCAGCCTGGCCAACATGGTGAAACCCCATATCTACTGAAAATACAAAAAAAAAAAAAAAAAAGCTGGGCTATTAGTGGCATACACCTGTAATCCCAGCTACTTGGGAGGCTGAGGCAGGAGAATCGCTTGAACCCTGTAGGCAGAGATTGCAGTGAGCTGAGATCGCAGCATTGCACTCTAGCCTGGGCAACAAGAGCAAAACTCCGTCTCAAAAAATATTTTTTAAAAATTCAGAGATTTAAAAGCTCTCAGCGGCCAGGTGTGGTGGCGTATGCCTGTAATTCCAGCACTTTGGGAGGCCGAGGTGAGCGGATCACAGGTCAGGAGTTTGAGACCAGCCTGGCCAACATGGTGAAACCCTGTCTCTACTAAAAAACATACAAAAATTAGCTGGGCATGGTGGCGTGCGACTATAATCCCAGCTACTCGGAAGGCTGAGGTGGGAGAATTGCTTGAACCCGGGAGGTGAAGGTTGCAGTGAGCCGAGATTGTGCCACTGTGCTCCAGCCTGAGCGACAGGGCAAGACTCCGTCTCAAAAAAAGCTCTCAGAACAACCAGTTTTACAAATTTGGCCAGTTGGTAAATAAACTGGGTTTCCAACCTACTTTGCTGAAACAATCACTGACTAAATAGGAAATGAATCATTTTCTTTTTGAAGCTGGCAGGCTGGTCTGCAGGACCTGATAAGTACTCACTTCATTTCTCTCTGTCTCAAGTTTCCCATTTTTAAGTGAGAATTAAGGGGCTCTGATAAAATGGACCCTAGGATTGTGGACAGCAGTGATAGTCCTAGAATCCACAGCTCTGCTTTTGAGTGATGGACCCATGTATCTGGCACATCTGCAGGCGGAGCATGGTTCTGGCTCTTCAGATGATGCCGGTGGAGCACTTGGAGGAGTCCTCACCCCACCGTGATAACCAGACATTAAAATCTTGGGGCTTTGCATCCCCGGATTTCTCTGTGATTCCTTCTAGACTGGTGGCATCGTGGCAGCATCACTGTTGTAGAGATTTCTGGTCACTTGGTTCTCAGGAGCTGTTGATTTAATGGCTTCACATTTAATTTCAGTGAACAAGGTAGTAGTGGCATTGAGCTTCACAGGGCCGTCCTGTTGTCCACAGGTTCCAGGTTGACTGTTGCCCCTTATCTATGTGAACAGTCACAACTGAGGCAGGTTTCTGTTGTTTACAGGACAGTTCTGCAGATCGATTTCTCAACAGCTTGGGAAGGTTTATGACAGGACTGGACACCAAAAATAATGTCAAGGTAAACCACGGTCTTTGTTCTAGTAGCTTTTTGATGAATGATGATCCTTATGTTTCCTGGAGCACTTTGAACTCACGGTAAAGTTGGTAGGGGCATTCACAACAGAAAAGAGCAAACTGTTAGCTTTACCAGCGAGGCAGTACGGTAAAGTGTAGTGATTCAGAGAATTTGCTTTGCCACCAGACATACCAGGTAACCTTGACTAAGTTACTTAACCTATCTAAGCCTCAGTTCCCTCATTTGTGAAATGGAGACAATAATCATGGCTATCTCTAAACTGTTGTGAGAATTCAATGAGTTAAAGGTATAAGGTCCTCCCCACAGTATCTACCCACATAGTCAGTGATCACTGTGTCCTGTACACTATAATTACTTCTCCATGTTCTCTGATCATAGTGTTTTGCTTTGGTACGTGACTAGAATTTCTTTCTGAGGTTTATGTGCATGGTTGGTGTGTGTGCACCTGCCTGCAGGAGCAGGGTTTGGGGGCATTACCTTGTACCTGGTATGTTTTCTTCCAGGTGTGGTTCAATAACAAGGGCTGGCATGCAATCAGCTCTTTCCTGAATGTCATCAACAATGCCATTCTCCGGGCCAACCTGCAAAAGGGAGAGAACCCTAGCCATTATGGAATTACTGCTTTCAATCATCCCCTGAATCTCACCAAACAGCAGCTCTCAGAGGTGGCTCTGTAAGTGTAGCTGTGTCTGAATGGATGGAGTGGGGCAAGGAGAGGGTCATGGAGGAGGGCAGAAAAATATGAAGCTCATCGTAGGGGAACAGCTGCAGAGACCATTACATTATGATAAATCTGGGTTGATCCAGGCTCTGGGCAGAAGTGATAAGTTTACGAATTGGCTGGTTGGGCTTCTTGAACTGCAGAAGAGAAAATGATACTGATATGTAAAAATCGTAACATTTAGTGAATTCATATAAAGTGAGTTCAAAAATTGTTAATTATAATTTAATTATAAGTGTTTAATCAGTTTGATTTGTTTAAAAATCACTGTTTAAAACTTGGTGGAATATGTTTTTATTAGCTTGTATCTTTAATGCCTAAGTTAAGCTGTGTGTGTGTGTGTATGTGAGAGAGAGAGAGAGAGAGAGAAAGAGAGAGAGAAGTTTAAAGCCAGGATGAGCTAGTTTAAAGTATGCAGGCATTGGAGTCATACAGATCTGGGTTTGAATCTGGTCTCTAAACTTTATAGATGTATGATATTAACTGAGGCAATTCATGTAAATTGCCAAGCCCAGCACTCAGCACAGAGTTGATATTTAGCACACATTAGATGCCTTTCCTGTACATGGAGCATGGCAGTTCCTGTTTCTGCTTAACTCCTACAGGATACTAATATAGGACACTAGGATCTTTATACCAAGACCCCGTGTAATGGGCTTATAAAACCATTCTTCTTATACGAATCTGATAAAATTTTTGTATGTGTTAAATCAATAGGCTACATACTGTTATTTTCAAGTTGATTTACAGCCAGAAAAAATTAATTTATTTGAGTAGTTGCACAGTAATATTTCTGCTCTCATTTAGTTTTCAAGCCCCACTAGTCCTTTGTGTGTGAAAATTTACAACTTACTACTTTTACAAGGTCACGAACAGTGGACCAAAGTGAATACCATTAACCACTCTGACTTCCTTCATTAGTTTTATTGTGGCAGTGGTATCACAATTTGACCTCAGTAGTATCAGTTTGGCATTTACATTGTCATATTTTTTGACTTAAAAATAATCATCTTAACCCTGAATAAAATGTGTCTGGTGAACAGATGTTTTTCCTTGGGCTGTGCCTCAGATATCTGTGTGTGTCTGTGTGTCCGTGTGTCCGTGTCCTCGCCGATTGAGCCCCAGTTGCATCAAAGACCCCTCCGATTTTCACACCCTTTTTCTTTCCAGGATGACCACATCAGTGGATGTCCTTGTGTCCATCTGCGTCATCTTTGCGATGTCCTTCGTCCCAGCCAGCTTTGTCGTATTCCTGATCCAGGAGCGGGTCAGCAAAGCAAAACACCTGCAGTTCATCAGTGGCGTGAAGCCTGTCATCTACTGGCTCTCTAATTTTGTCTGGGATATGGTAAGGACACAGGCCTGCTGTATCTTTGTAATGTCTGTCAGGGCCATAGATTGATAGGGATAAGAAGGAAAGAGCCCTGGCTATCATCAGGAAATGTTCCAGCTACTCTAAAGATATATGAAAAAGGAAAAGCCAGAGGCAGGTGATCACTTTCATGACACCAAACACAGCATTGGGTACCAGAGTTCATGTCACACCAGAGGGAAAAATCTGTACACAATGATGAAAATTAATACCACTGCTGCAAGAATCAGAGAGATGCAAGTCAAAACTCCAAGTCAATGCCTCTAATTTTTCTGATGGGTTTTAACCTCCAGAGTCAGAATGTTCTTTGCCTTACTAGGAAAGCCATCTGTCATTTGAAAACTCTGTACATTTTATCAGCAGCTTATCCATCCATTGCAAACATGTTTTTGTGCCAGCTACAATATATTGCTTCTATGTTGACCAATATGGGGGACTTGAAGGAATTCTAAAGTTCTAATTATTGTAAAGTACAGTTGAAATATATCTTCCTGTAACTTCCATTAACTATAAGCTACACAGAGCAAATGTAATTCTTCTCCCACTGAACAAGTCCCTGAATATTTAAAAACAACTCTCATACTCTCATTTAACCTGAGTATTCCCCAGATAAGATGATATATGAGAATATATCTTGTAACCTCCAAAGCACTGTACAAATGTGAGCAGTGATGGTGGAGATGATGATGAGGTCTTTGCTGTTCATACCAAGGCTCTTAGACTTTGTCACTCTTCTGATCCGATTGTCCTTGTATGGCCATGCTCTCTATTGTTAATGTCCCGTTTCAAAAGCAAAGCCAAGAATTAACCTCGTGTTCAGGCTGTGGTCTGAATGGTTATGAGTCTAGAGGGAGTTAATCTTTAGCCCACACTTCTATTCCTACAGCACAAAGACTTTGCATTTTGGAAGGAGCACTGTCTTACTGGCAACTTAGTGGTAAACCAAAAACCTCCATTTCACACCAATGATTGTGAAATTCGGGTCTCCTTCATTCTATACAAATTCATTTTTTTTGAACCTAAACTTTATATTTATCCATATTAAATTACATGTGTTTTATTTTTGTTTTAGCTTGATTCAGTAATTACTCCAGTCAGTAAACACAGACTGAATGCTATGTGTCTGACTTATGCCAGGCATAGGTGATTCAGAGATGAAAGGTCAAGTCCCTGAACCCATCTCTTATCTTCCTGGGTATTATCTGTAGCTCCTAAAATTTGCTAGAAGCGTGTCTTCATCTAAGTTGTTGATAAACACATCAAGTAGCACAGGACTGAGGCAGAGTCCTGTAGTCAGAAGCTGCAGTTCTTCTAGCAGCTAACAAGCTCACTATCACTTCCCTGCCTGTGCTTTGCTCTGCCAGCTATGAATTCTCATAATTGTCCTATCGTCAAGTCTTTATTTTTGCATTTTACTGCTTGATACACTGTCAGGACAGACTTTAAAATTATTCTCAGTGCGATGAAACAATTCTGACATTCATGTTATGAGCAGTTACCTCATAAATAGATTACATGTGAGATTGAACTTGGGCAGACTGTAATATAGCATTAATGATGAAACAGACACAATCATCTTCGGGAAGAAGAATGGAAGCTTATTTGCTGCCTGTGAAATTGAAATTACTCTGACTGGGAATCCATCGTTCAGTTTACTGAGCGTGACACCTTGGCTTGGCTGTTGGAAAGACAGAAAGGGCATGTAGTTTATAAAATCAGCCAAGGGGAAAATGCTTGTCAAAGTGTATTGTCCGGTATTTTGATTAATAGTTTATGTGGCTTCATTAATTCAGAGTTACTTTCCAATATGTTTATCTGCCCTTTCTTGTCTAATGATGGTGAAGACTTGTGTGATGCATTGTGTATTTGATTTAGGGGTAAACTGTATGTCTTTGTTTTCACTTTTAGTGCAATTACGTTGTCCCTGCCACACTGGTCATTATCATCTTCATCTGCTTCCAGCAGAAGTCCTATGTGTCCTCCACCAACCTGCCTGTGCTAGCCCTTCTACTTTTGCTGTATGGGTAAGTCACCTCTGAGTGAGGGAACTGCACAGTGGATAAGGCATTTGGTGCCCAGTGTCAGAAGGAGAACAGGGGACTCAGTAGACACTTACCTTTTTGTGTCTCACCAGGTGGTCAATCACACCTCTCATGTACCCAGCCTCCTTCGTGTTCAAGATCCCCAGCACAGCCTATGTGGTGCTCACCAGCGTGAACCTCTTCATCGGCATCAATGGCAGCGTGGCCACCTTTGTGTTGGAGCTCTTCACCGACAATGTGAGTCATGCAGAGAGAACACTCCTGCTGGGATGAGCATCTCTGGGAGCCAGAGGACAGTGTTTAATTGTGATCTTATTCTACTTGTCAGTGGCATGGACGCTGCTGACTGCCTTGTCCTTTCTTCAGAGTCTGTCTTCCCTGAGAAGGCAAAGCACCTTTCTTTCTTGCTGTGCCGTACATTTTGCTGGTCAAGCCTTTCAGTTTCTTTTGACAGTTTTTTTTTTCTTTCATTTTTGAGTGTTGCTTTTACCAAGAGTAGCTCCTCTGCCTTCCACTTTGCACATGAGATCTGGGCGACGCCATTCAATCCCAAGACTTTTACCATCACCCTTCTTGGTGTTTTTATTGTCATCTCTAAGATCTATGCCTTTAGCCTTGTTCATAACCTTGAACTCTAATCTCACATTCTCACTTGCCTAGTGGATTGCTCCATTTAGATAGTATATAGATACTCCAAACTGGACAGGTCCTAGTTTTCTTCGCCCCTGGAACATAATGCTTTTCTTACCATCCCTGTCACACTCAGGGCACTACCATCCACTCGGTTGCCCAAGCTGGCTCTTAGAGTTATCCTAGATGCTTGCTTTGCTGTTGCAGATTTCCCACATTCGACTGGTTGTGTTGTCAGTTCTTCCAGGTATGGACCTGTAAAATAAGGCTTCCTCTCCATTCCGGTTGGCATTGCCTTTGTCCAAACACAGCACACAAGGCCTTTTACAGATGCACAACTCTTCCTGTCCGTACCCACCACACCCTTTCCCCAGCTGTAAGCTTCAGATGAGTTGTCCCCAACCACCATGCTCCTGTAAGCCTGGTTTGAAATGCCCTTCTTCTGTCACAGGGTCCGGTAGTACATCTCTTACCCTTCAAGATTTAGCTTAAATGTGAAGCTGTCCTTACCTGCTGGGAGGTGTTCTCTCTTTTCTCTGTGCTCTCAGAGTCCTCAGTCCATGCCTCCAGTACAGTGCACATCCACTTACATGGTAATTTCCTGTTTACATACTTTTCCTACTCGGAGTGGAGTCTGTTTCTTACTAACTTTTGCCTCTCCCATGCCCTAGCACAGTGCATCCAGCATATAGCCCCTTACTCAGTTGCTAGATATTTGGCCACTGTTTTCTTTTGGGGTCATACGTTCTGATGTATTTGAGAAGAATTTCTAAAATTCTGACAAAATCCTGAAACTCAAATATTGACCCAGACATGAGCAATTTGCTTTTAAAATGCTAAGGGATTTTTAATGGATTTGCTTCTGATTAAATATAGGCTGTTTCTAAGCTTTATTCATGATTTCTCCACACTCAGACCATTTCTCCAGATTTTCTAAAGAAGAGAATTTTATTGCTACATGTCATCCACTATGCCTGCTGCTATTTCATTGGTATCTGAATTAAAAGGTCCAGTTTGTCCCTAGAGAATCAAATTTTTCTTCACTCCCATATTTCAGAATTTGATACATTTTTAGGATAAACCATGAATGACATCCATTTCTTCTCCCTCACCCTCCCTTCCCTCCCTTTTCTTTTTATTTTAGAAGCTGAATAATATCAATGATATCCTGAAGTCTGTGTTCTTGATCTTCCCACATTTTTGCCTGGGACGAGGGCTCATTGACATGGTGAAAAACCAGGCAATGGCTGATGCCCTGGAAAGGTTTGGTGAGTGAAGCAGTGGTTGTAGGATGCTTTAATGGGGATGGCACTCTGCATAGGCCTTGGTACCCTGGACTTTGTTTTGGAAAGAAGCAGGTGACTAAGCACAGGATGTTCCCCCACCCCCATGCCCAGTGATAGGGCTCATGCCAACACAGCTGGTTGTGGCATGGGTTTTGTGACACAATCATTTGTCTGTGTCTCCAATAGCATTGAGAAAAGTGAAAGGGCAGTTTTGAAGGTAAGGAAAATAGTGGCATTTGCTTGGATCCATTGGCTCATGCCACTGACTGGGTTGGTCAGAGGCCCTGGAAAAGTCAAACCACAGCTTTGAGAATTAGAAGGTCAGGGAATCAGAAGGAAAGATGCTAACTTTGGCTCTATTAGGCGAATCATGTGTCTGCAGATGAGGTCATATATTATCTTTTACACAGTCTGTAAAATGATAATGTATTACATCTTTTTCTACGTTTAGAATGGTTAAAAATATTTCTCCCGTAGCCATATGATTATTATTCATCCACTAGCTAATTATAGTCAAATGGGCCATATTATTTAGTGGTCGTAGAAGAGGGGCTTTTTCCAACTTGGGGTACAAAGGAGATATCTAAGAAATGTAAGGAATATTTACATGGAACTAGATTTAATGGAATCTAGTGATTAAATCATTAGGATATATGCTCCTGAAAGGAGCATCTGCTTAAAGTGCTAATATTTCTTATTACTAAAACTTAGAATTTCTTAAAAATACTGTAAAAATTACTTGGGTTGTTTGCCTTTTTAAAAGGATTTTTGGCATGTTTCATTAAAAAAATACTAGATATGTTCGGTGAAGTCACAAATCTAATACACATTAGCTCTGAAATTCTGATTGCTACTGGGCCATAAAAAGTTTTCCCATATCAGACTTGGAAAGTGATCATTCGCTTGTTACTTTTTTTTCCCTCTTTGTCATGGGTGATAGCCATTGGTGTTTATTGGAAGATTGGTGAATTTTTAGGAACATAGACCCAAATTTGAGGAAGGGCCATGGTTTTTGATCCCTCCATTCTGACTGGATCTCTGCATTATGTCTACTAGGGGAGAACCGCTTTGTGTCACCATTATCTTGGGACTTGGTGGGACGAAACCTCTTCGCCATGGCCGTGGAAGGGGTGGTGTTCTTCCTCATTACTGTTCTGATCCAGTACAGATTCTTCATCAGGCCCAGGTGAGCTTTGTCTTAGAACCCATGGAGCACGTGGCCGAGGGTCACAGGGGAAGCGCACAGGGAAACACTCACCAATGGGGGTTGGATTGAACCGAACTCAAAATATGTGATAAAACTGATTTTCCTGGCGCGGGCATCCCGCAGCCCCTCCCTGCCCATCCTGGAAACTGTGGCGAGTGGGTTTTATGATACTCCGTTAGAGACTGAATCTTTGTCCTGAAAAATAGTTTGAAAGGTTCATTTGTCTTATTTTTTCCCCCCTAAGACCTGTAAATGCAAAGCTCCCTCCTCTGAATGATGAAGATGAAGATGTGAGGCGGGAAAGACAGAGAATTCTTGATGGTGGAGGCCAGAATGACATCTTAGAAATCAAGGAGTTGACGAAGGTGAGAGTGTAAAGGTTACAATAGCTCACCTTCAGTTTTTTTCAGCTTTAGGTGCTGTAACCCTGCAGTTTGCTGACTTGCTTAATAAAAGGGCATATGTTCCCAAAATGTACATCTGTACCAAGGTTCTGTCGGTTTTATTTTAAAAACACCATGGAGACTTCTTAAA